CAACATGATTCTCCCTACGGGCATCCCACCTGACGAGATTCTCTCTTGTTCAACCATATTTTGAAACAAGAGCCCAAACTTACCTTTGCGGCAGGTTTTAAGGAGCTTTGCGGCTACTTCACGATCTAGACGTGGGAAACGCTTGTCCGCGATGAGTTCTTGCTCGGTGGAGGACATGCATGCTTGGGCCCACTGGTAAACTTCATCTCCGGGGGTCTTCTGGAGTCGACCGATGGCCATCAAAACTTGGTTGACGAAACCTCTAGCCTGACCAGCGTTCTCCGGAGGGGATGGTAGTACAAGATCCTTGAGATCCTTGACGCGGACAACGGACTCCTCATACGCGGCGTGCTCTACGGCGGCAGCTTGCGACGGGTCTGCATTGGGGAACTGGCCAGAGCCTCCCCCACCTCCCCCACCACCATTCATGGTGAGGTATGGGCATTCCGTGTCTTCATGGCTGCCGCCACAAACTCGACATTGTCGGGTATCATCATCTCCATCAGAGTCTGATGATGAGTCGGAGCTTGCGGCCGATGGCGCTTGTGGGGATGACGAGTACAACCCTCCCAACATTGTGATTGGTACTGGCGGAACACGAGTGCCGTTGCCAGCTTTTGGCGGAGGCGGCGCCCCTGCGAGGGGCGTGGGAGGCACTGGAGGTGGTGCGGCCGGAGGCGGAGGTGGCGGAGCCACTTGATTAGCAACCAATTGGGAAAGCTGCTGAACCATTTCCGCTAGAGCCGTCACTTGCACTCTCACATCGGCTTGATCCCTTGTACCGTCTCTACCCAACCCGCTGGTCCTTGACGCGCCGGGGGCTGCGTCTCCAACAGAGGACGCTGCTCCTAGCACTGCCGAATGGCCTGCGAGATGTTGACTTGTTGCAACCCCACCAGGGTCCCTTGAATCAGCTGGGGCATCGTGACCAAGTCCTGAACTTTGAACAGAACCACACGGAGGGTCGGGGATAGTACTTGTAAAAGCATTCCCTTGCGACGATGCGGCAACACCGGAGGCATCTTGTGAATCTGAAACCTGAGGTGCTCCAACCGGCTGATGGGTTCCTGGGGGAACTGTGCCCTGACTTGAGGCCTTAGCCGCGCTTGATTCCGTAGCTGTTTCGGCTATTGATGCGGCTTTTTGGCGGGGACTCTTGAACCGGAACAGGGGTCGCACGAGCTTGTTGGGTGAGGTGTGCAACAACACGTTCGAGATCACCAAGTCGTTGATGCATCACAGAATTTTCCTGGGACAATCCACGAATGGTATGCTCTTGACTGGCAATGGTTTGTTCTCTTTGCGAGATTGCCTGTTGAGCCTCTTGAACAATGCGTTGAACCTCTTGCTGAGCGTCCTGTTGAGTGGCATTAACAACCCGTGCGTTCTCGACATGGCCAATGGCTTCCTGTCGTGTCTGCTCGATTAGTTGCCTAGCCTGAGCCTCACTTTGTTGTGCTGTTTGTACAGCCTGCTGTGCTTGCGAAGCTAGCTGAGCGGCCTGAACCCTAACATCTGATACTTCTCTTACAGCCCTTTCCCTGATCCATCCGGCCTCTTGTCTCGCCTGGTCGGCGGCCTGCTGTTGATGCAAGGCGTGATTGGCTGCCTGGGCAGCGAGGTCGGATGCTCGATGAGCTTGCTGCACCGCAGCTCCAGCAATAAATGCGGCAGCCGGTACGTTAGTCATCGGGTCGGGTAATTGCGATCCCTGTGAAGGAAACTGAATGGCTGGGGAAGCTTCGGATGATGTAGGTTCTGACACGATCGGACCACTTGGGGGTGATGATGGTCGTGTTTGGGCTGCTCGTTGAGGTGTGGATGTGCGAACTGTGGACATAGCTGCAGGAACCATGGCTAAGTCAGGGTCATCCGGTTCGGAATCCCTATTTGGGGTTGACCTTGAACGGGGTTCCGAGGGCGGTGATAAGCCCGTTGAAGCCATGACACAGCAATGCAATTTTGCACTCACACGAAGCTACCTCCACGCGCTTTGAGCAGCGTGTCAAAAGGTGCTACGAGGAGATATCCCTGGATTGGCAGCTGGTTGCGAAACGCTCAAGTGAGCCACTCAAGAAAATACGCCCTGCTGCTTTGCACCTGATGAATTCTGTACTTGTAATTGTACTTGTAGATTGATTGATCCGCACTGCCGCACTCTGGTGCTTTATCGAAGGATGTTGCCAAGCTGCTAATGAGAAAATCTGCAAATCGAATGCCTGTAACTGCAAAGATGCTGTACCACGCAAAGCGACGGTTTTAACGGCTTGCAAAGAAAGGCTATCGAAGGACCCGACTGGCGGGCAGTTGGGATGCAGACCGATGGAGCTCCTCGAGGTACTGCGATGGGTGCAGGCCCCTTGCCGCCGGAATGAAATATCGATTCCGGGACTCGATGTACTCCCCAATGTTCTCAAGCGCGTTGGCAAATCCGCTCGGCCCAAAATGTGGGAAGTTGCGGAACGCTGCGATGCCTGTCTTCTGCGCCTCGCGGACGATCGCAGCTTGATCGTCCGAAAGTGAGTCCAGCTGTCGCCTTCGCGTGCTCCAGGGCGACCTGGAACTCGCGGCGTCGAAACTCGCTTGCAGCCCTGCCAACGAAGGATAGCACCACAAAATTGATAGGTGCGTAGTCGGCTGCAAATTGAACGAGATGCCGGATCACCTCCGCGTTGAGGTGGGGCCCCTGCTGCCCAACGTCAAGAACTCCGTGCCAGTCAAGAGCGATGGTGAGCTCCTTGGGCGGCACTGGCCTTGCAGGCGGCGGGGGTGGCGCAGGCGGCGGCCTTCTTGGTGGCGATCGAAAGCGTGCGCCGGCCTCGGAAGTTGCAGCGCTTGCAGCAGCTGCTTTAACGACCTGCGGCGGTGGCGGCTTGACGATGTACCCTTGTGGTGGGTTTGAGCCTGACTTGCTTCTGGGTTCGGCCTTGTTCAAACCTCGCGGAGGCGCCTTGTACCCGAATCACTCTGAGTCCGAATAGGAGACCTTGCTCGAGGCGGTGATTTCCTTGGAATATCTGCTTTTGCCGGTACCGAAGAAGCTGCACGAGGAAGTTCCTTTGGCAATGGAGGCTTGCTGCCAAAAATGATCTTTGGCGCGGCCTTTGGTGGCGGTGGCTGTATTGCTCCAATCCTCCGGCTATGCAAAGCAATAGGCTCAGTGTGAGTCGGTGCCTCGTATACGCGCCGAGGCACGTAAGCCGCCCTGCCAGTTGCGAGGGACTCCACGTCCTGCGGAGGCTCCTCTTCTGAGCTATAGGCGTCGAGGCGATAGTGCTCCGCTGGTCCTGGGCGTCGATCTGGAGATCGTGATCGCGAGCTTGTGGATGATCTTCTTGGGGGATCTCTCCACGTCTCGTCCGCAAGCGAATACGGGTCAGCCTGACGGAGATGTCCGGATGTCCGCTGTGCTCGGCGGTGAGATGTCGCCTCACGTGGCTGTGAAGCCTCCCGAACGAGTACCCAAGTGCCGTGCTCGTCAAATCGTGTCACAGGGTTTATGCTGTTCTGTGGAGCCAATACAATGGGCCGTGTGGCAAGGGAAGTCCTGGATGGCCTGCCCTCCCGCGCAAGCGCGGGTTCAACACTGTGTGCCCGTTGTTGAACAGGGGTAGCAGCAGTCGGTCCTCGTCTCGGAGGCGATGGAGACCTCGACCTTCGTGGCGATGGGGACCTCGATCTTTGTGGCGACCGTTCCCTGCTGCTCTCCCGCCGCGTTTCCGCAGCTCTAGCGTATACCCCGCGAAGTGCTGTCTTGGCGGCACCTCGCAACACTTGTCTTTCCTCTGCTGATGGTCGGATGCGAGGCAATGGAGTGCGTGCGTCTTGTAGCCAGGATGAAGCTGAAGGAGGCGTAGGAGGGCGTAGCCAATCCGCTGCACTGCCTGCTGCTTCCGCCGCGCCAGAGGCTGCGGCTCTATCCTGAGACTGCACACCTGACCAGACCACACCTGTGGTTTCAACCGATGCAAGACGTTGCTGATAAGCGTTGTCCGCGGCCTGGATTACCTCAAAGGCTTCTTGGTCGAAAAACCACAGGTGCCAACTACCCAATGTCTCACGCCAGGAAAAGAGCGCCTCAACCTGTTGCTTTGAGGCGTCTGCAAACCTGATCCACCGGAATCGTCTGTCCTGTCTCTTGTACTCGTCTACGACGATCTGTTGCAGAGTGTTGTACAGACGGGCACGCGGCCCTTTCCCACCGCGAGTGCCGCGGTGAGGGCCGACTTCCATGTGCGACCAGAAGGTCGCAGTCACGGAAGGGTTTGTTTACCCGAAAAGCGTTACGGCTGATAACCACTCAAAGGAGAGGGAAACACAGTTTTCTCAACAACGGGGGAACCCGGGACCTTAAAAGGAACGAACCCCGCCGTGACTGCGACCTCTCCCTTAACCTTGTGGCAGCGCGTGCAACGCGCTCTTTTCTTGAGCCAAAGCAATGACATGTGGTCATGTCACTGATCTTGTACCTTGCAACATGAGTACCTACCTCATGAACCTCTGGGCCATAAATGTCATCGTGATAATTGACTGTTTGACTGGACAATCTGTGGAGGAGGGAAGCTACTTGAACATCTGCCGCCCTTCGGTCACGGGGGAGGCAACTTGTCTGCGCCCGCGCCAAGCAGAAACTGGTATACTTGATTGCCAAGTCATCCACTCCATGGACCCGAACAGGATCGAGGAACCGCATAGGTAAGTGGGAAAAGTTGTCCCTGTCATTGGCATCACTCTGGGTGTTGGTCGGCAGGTATGTGTCAAGCTGAAACTGATTGAATATGACTCATTGCCTCATGGCTTCCGTGCAGGTGGCCCCTGTTGACCCTAGCGAATTCTCGAGCCGTTGCCTTTTGTCTTTGTTTTGTCTTATTGGGAACCGTGGCCAGCTGAAACGTGAAGGGATTCCGAAAACAATCCTCTGGCGGAATATCTTGTTTTGTATCGCATTTGGGGCTGCGTGTGATTTGCAGGGCATGGAGTACGGCTTTGAGACGCCCGGCATCATCTCATTCAGCTCCACATCAGAGGTCAAGACTTTGCAACGCCTTGGAGGAGTGCATAGGTGAAAGAGAGATACAGCGCAAAACCAGATAACATGCTAATGGGAAAGATATGGCAATAACTTTCTTCTTTCTTGCTTCCACGAAGACATGAGTGAAGTGTATGACATTCCTCTTCTTCTAACCTCATCCCTCTCCAGCTCTCGCCAGCGGCAGGTAGAGGATGGGGAAGCCATGAGAAGCAAAGAAGCCGTCCTCATATCCAGACTGTTTCTCTATCTCTCCGACCAATAAAGACTTGGAAATGTAGAAGTGTGGAAGGGAAAGAGTCGGCAGGTGAGAAGAAAGTGATGGGCCAACTCATTCATGTCCCTTCCTCTTCCTTCACTCGCTTCAGATTCCTTGTCAGGCGTGTGTTGGAGAAGGAAGGACATGATGCTCACCCTCTCTTCACTCGTCACCTCGCTGCCTTCGGGTTCCCAAGACAGACAGCCTCGTCCTGGATACGATGGCAGGCGACAGGATGATGAAGGAAAGTGAGTGTAGAATGAAAGGATGTGGTCAGAGGAATGGGTTGATGAATGAAGATGCTGGATGATGGACCAGCACTAACCAACCTAATTCATCTGCCTCCGTTTCCAGTCCTCTCTCATCGACTCGTTCTCTCTTCTCTTATCCCTTTCTATTTCTATCACACTCTACCTCCATGAAATCCAAGATGAATGGAGGTAGGTGATAGAAGGGAAAGGGATGTAAGAGCCGCCTCCGGACCCAACCCTTGATTCCATGGAAACCGCCAGGACAAGGCAAGCTTGTATCTCAGGGACTCACACACAGTGAAAAGCGAAGAGGGGGCATGTAGCCGAAGGTCCGACGTCGCTTGAGCGATTCGGAGATTCTTCACATCTTGCGAGTTTTGACGGGTCTCTTGCTCAATGGGGACCCCACTTGGATGACCCTTGACCCTGTACCCTTATTCCAGGAATCGCATCTATCATTTGGGGAAGGGGGAAGGGAGGTGGTGGAACGGTACAGTATCCATTCAAGCGGGAAAGCGATTGACCGCCACAAATTGTTCAATGTCGCTCATTCTGACGGACACTGAGGGAATGCCTTTGCTTCCATGGCATCTTGGTAGAACATGGCACATGCTCGTTGCCACTCCCTGAGAAAAAACAGACCAGGTCTCACGCAATCGTAAAGTGGCTTTCCGTCCGTGACTCGCATCTTCGAGCGGCGATCTCCGAGGCTCAACTTTCGGGGCTGGGCCCCTGACACGCCCACACCCTCGGCTTTGTCGAGGATCTCCTTCGGGGGCAGGTTGTTCTGGTCCTCGGAAGGGAGTGGAAGGGATGCAAAACGCCACAAGAGGAAGCCCAACAGGAAGGGAAGCTGCATTCGCGAAGAAACTGTGCCATACCAGAAAGACCAACATAAAACAAAAACTTGGAGTGGCAGAACAGATTCCGACACATGTGCGGCCTTCCAGAACAGCTTCCCGAACAAGGTCGGCATTTCCTAAGCGGATGGAAAAGAGTGGCTGATCTCCTGGCGGCTTCCCTCTGAACAAAAAGTGGCTGTAGTCAAAAAGCCATCAACAAAGACACCCCTACTGAACGAATTTCTAGACACCTCTCCAGGCGTTCCCTTCATTTCCCTTCAACACTGTGCGGAAAAAGGGATTCCCTATTCTGAGATAGACCATGAAAACTGCGTTCAGCCACTTGTGCATTATACGTTTTCCCTGATTCTTCGCCAAACTTCCTCGAAACAAACAGCCGAACCACAATAAATATCTTGCCTCCGTCACGCCTCCATGGTGCACTGCCCTGAAGCCCCTTGACCCCTTAAACGCTCCTCATGCTTCAACTTCTGTGGCCAAAGTACCCCCTTTTGTGATACCAAACGTGGGGGTCCCACAGCTATGGCAGGTATCCCAGAAAGGTGGCGCCAAAACCTTACGGACCACGGCCCAGCTCGAAGGGAGGTTCCAGCAAAGGAATCCGGAGCGGCTGGTGGAAGAAGCTGAGTTGCAAGTTGGGCCACCGGCGTTTGCACCATTTTCTTGCAAAGGAATCGGTGGTGTGATGGCTTGGTGCAGCACTTTGGAGGACTTTGGAGGGCCTGTGGAACGGACCAGGCAACCATCAAGAACGTGGAAGTGCGCAGACCTCCTTTGAAAGACATCAGCCCTTTGGAAAGCAACCCATGAACCCTGATCGACGAAGTTTCTCTCCAAGGCACCAATCTGAGCATCAAAGGAGTCACTCCCTGGCGAGGATATCTGGACCTCAGCGAGTCCAAACATGGGGAGTCCAAGCAGTAAAGATCTAGAAATCGCTGTGGAGGCACTTTGTGTGGAGTTCATCTGTTATTCCCGCGGTATGTTCTTTTTTACTACTCTTTTAGTGCTCTTTTAATATAGCTCGGTTCGGCGTTCGGCGCTCTGACGAACCTTGTGACCACTCATTTCTGTCGATTTGTTTGCCGCGCGCGAATGAAATACCTGTTGGTCTGACAAGAAGAGTAAGGGGTCCCTAAAGAGCCTTCGAGATGATTGAATATAGGGCAACCCACCCATTGATCCAGCGTGAATTCCCCGCACCGGAAACGAATCTTTGAATTGCAGCATCCTTCCAGAATGCCCCCCCCCCTCCCGCCTCACACAGGGCTCCTTGAAGCAAACTGGTTTCCCTAACTGAAACTGGGCTGTGCCTGACCGACACGCTCCCCTCAAGTTGCAAAATTTACTGGTGGGTTCCATTGAAACGATCGCCGGTTGGAATTGAGGGGACCCTAAAATCCTTTCACCGCAAACACGCCGGTTTGATCACTCCGAGCGTGGTGCTCCTTGGCCGCCTTCAGCAATTCCAGCACAGAGTCCTATGCGAAATGCTGCCATTGGTTACGTCACCCTATCCACCTGAAACCTGAAACCGTCTGGCTTCCCAAGCTGCCAGCTTCCATCAAGAAGGTCATTTTGTCCGTGGACATGGTTGTGCGAAACCACGGTTTGGTTTGGGCTTGCTGCAGGTTCCAAAAGAAACCCAATCGATTGGATGGTCCAAATTTCGGCAACATTTCAGGGGCCCGGGGCCTCAGGCCTTCAAGGAGCAGGGCCCAAATGGCGGGCGGGTTGGGAAAAGGTCGTCTCAACTGCGGGGGGCGTCGAGTCCACACAAAAGGTTGATTCTTGTTGAGGCAACCTGAAGGCCGAGTTGCTAGATGTTCAAGCTAACTTTGCACAAGGCTAAAAACCAAGAGATGCAGGCGGGGAGACATTGTGAACACCCGACAGTCACAGCGATGTCTAAATGTGACCTATGTCTGGCACTGATCCCTGGCTCAAGATGTCTCCTTCTGGTTGCATCGTTGTTCAAACAGCTCATGTTAACCATAATTTTGATGGAGGGCTTTTCGACAGATCTAACCGGATCTCTCCAAGTGTCCTTGCGGATTCATGCTGGTTCTCTGTTGGGCGCCAACGGAAGACTCCGTCCATCCGTTGAAGGCTCCGGCCGGCTTCGGTTTCAATGCCTTCAATATCTCGTAAGGGTTAATGGCTGGGGGGAACAAAGAAACGCATACCCGCCCCGCCCTCTTGTGGATCCGGAAGTTAAACGGGGGCGGGCTGAAAAAGGAGATCATTTCTCGTCCCCGGGAGGATCGTAATTAGGGCACAATCACCCAGGTGGGATTTCCCCAATTGGAACAGTCAAATTCACGCAAGTTGGGCCAAAACGCGGCCATGGCCAGAATCTGGCCGCACTGAACCTGAGCCTGCTGGTTCCTAAAATTGACAGCAATCCCTACAAATGATGTTTACAGGGAAAGCAAAGAGAAAGTATGTTCTATGTGTGGAAACGCCCAAATGAGTCCCTGGTTGAAACGTGTGGCTGATTTCTATCGCAGGGACCCCCTTTTGGGCTCGTTGGCTCAACCTTTGGACCATTCAATGGAGGAAGTGCTGAAATGTTTGGATTCTTTTGGTTTTCCCCCAAACCGTCCCCCGGAAATGGTGGCCTCAACACACTCATCATTGACTCATCATGTCCAACAGGGCCTGGTCCGGGTTGTTGATGCGGGAGCAGTGAATTTCATCCACCTGCGTTGGTTCACAATCGCTCCAAACCCATTCGCAGTGATTCCATGGGGGTTCCACCAGTTGTCCAGGGTTACCTGCTGTAGTGGCGAAACGCCCGGGATCCACTGGGATTGACTTTTGGTACTCAAATGGACGTGAAGCTGTATGTCAACATGAGGTAGTCGCATTTGCCTGTCACCAAAAAGCCTTGCCAACCCAGGAAGTTTGGCTCGGAGAACGGCCGGGGGTTTCCGCCAACAAGTTCCGAGGCACGACATGGAATTCGTTCGTACAATTTGGCCACTTCGCCGGTCTCTGCTGAACTCCTTGGGGGGATTCGCAACTCAATGCGGGCAAATCATCCTGGACATTGGGCCGGGCAAACTCACCCCCGAACTAACCATGCTTGGCAAAAGTCGAGGCGTGATGTCGAATGGTGCAAGTGGACCTTCAGGAGGATCTCCCCAACTCTTTTACATTTTGAGTTTCTCGCCCTGCTCCCAGAAGGCCGGATTGTTCAATCGCAAGTGCTCGGTGTTCGGGCCCATTCCTGAGATTTGTCGATTTGTCTTTGGGGCTTGCCGTAAAATGGACATCTTTGGGCTTGTGGAACATTGGGTGTGATGTTATGGCGCTGCCAATCCCTTTCGTACCCGTCGTTGAGCTCAATCATGTTCTGTAGTGGTTGCGGCAAGACCTCAATGCATGGTGCCCATGACTTTACCAATGCATCCAAGATGACGCATGACAAGTCAGTCAGAAGGGTCTGCCCAAGCAATGATGCCAGACTGGTTCTGGGTCGTTGCTCCATATATTCGGTCCACGAAGTCTGTGTGGCTTCCTGAAGCTTTGCATCTCCTTTTATTGGGAACTGCGCCATCCACTCTCACGCAACTGCAAGGGGTTTAGATGTTTACATAGAACCGGGTGATCTTTACAGGCCACAACCAATTGCGCAAGCAACACCTGGGTCCTGTGAAAACGGCGTGGCGCCGACATCCGAATCCGACCGGGCTTCCATCAAATTCTACAGGGTCTACTGCTGAAGACCGTAAGGGCAACATGTTGTCTTAACAAAGCCGACGGATGTACCTGACCGATATTTGCGGCAGTCCATGCGAGATCCCTTCGCCCTTTTGCGAGCACGTCCTCCAAGCCGTCAGCAAGAATTAGGGACCCATGACATGCAGCAGGTCGCTTGGTTCGCCATGTTTTGCCCACAGGTCGGGCAAAGTATGTTAAAACCAGACCCTGGTGTTTTGCTTTGTTTGTTTCTTTTGCTGGGGAACTATACGAGCTTGCTAAAATAAATCAGGCGTTGCGTTCTTTATGTTTTCTTTTGGGTTTGACATACTAAGTTCCAACCTGAAGGAGTTACCTTGTTGTCTTGGCTTCCCTTGAAACCAAGCTGAAAAGGATACCCTGACGAACCAGTGCAAACCCACATATATGACAACAAGGGGTCGAATCGACGTTGGCCCAGGTCGAAAGTGATGCACCCTCCAAGGCCCCGGCACCCCCTTGGCGCACAAAGGCGCACAACGCCCGCAGGGCCCTACCACCTCAATATCCGACATCTTCTCAAGATATGGGTCAAACTAAACCCCAGGGGACCGGGCTTAGTCCATGTTTCCACTTAGGGTTCCATTTTGGGTACCTACTTTTGACCCACAGCCATCTTGGGCCAACTTAAATCTTGCTTTCTGCAACATGAGCCTCTAGGAGCAAAGTGGAGCAAAGTGGGTGGCAAGGAATGCTTAGCTTCATCCTCAGATTCCGGCAGCAAGCAGTCACACTTGAATCATGCGGAACAGAGGAATCGTAAACGAAGTTACTGGGGGAACCCGCTAATTATTCCAGAAAAGGGTCTCTGGCCTCGATGCTGCAAAGAGCTGATAGCTTGAGGCAGTTTGAACTCCCCCTCTCAATTTCACCCAACCAAAAGGATGCTCACTTTCAATGGACGCAAAAGGTGATGTCCAAACAATCCAACAGGGGGATAGAGGGACCCTGTCTCTCTCTTGGAAATGCGAACCCTTCAAACAAACAACAGCAACCATCTACAACAAGCAAACCTACCTCGAAGTGGAGGATCAACTCCAAAATGTCTTCAACATACTGGGTCATCTCATTCACATTCAACACACCTTCACGTACATGGTTCATCAGGACCATGACTGAAAGTCCAGCGAACGTGGAAACCGCAAGGTCAGATCTAGCCGATTCGTTTTTGGCAACTAGGGAGTTGACAACATGGCAACCCTGAGCCTCTTACACGCCTGCACAAAGTGGCACCAAACGAAGGGGCTACACTACCAAGAAACAAAAAAAGCAAAACAAAAGTCTGCAAGGCACAATAGTAATGAGCACATGATAGAAATCAGCGATAACATTGAGATCAGGCCATGGCAGAAACTAAGGGTTCCCCGGGGAACCCTGCACCCATTCTGGGGGGGGGCTTCCCTAGTTGAGTGTGAGGCATGCACATCGACGCTAATCTTCGCGCGCCATAACGACGAGTGGCTGATGGCGGTACCAGTGAGCCTCAGCCTGGCGGGGGGTTGGGCTGTGGGTGGGTGGGTGTGGGTACCTGTGGGTGCCTGCCTGTGTGTGTGTGTGCATAGCAAGAGGTGTATGCGTGCTTTTGTGGGTTCCCCGACAAACGGTGTTTTTTTCTGCTGGTTGCCTTTAAACCACACACACTCCAAAGAGGGGAACCGTCAACACACACACACCCATGGCAGTGGCAGTGGAAAGGTACTCGCTGTTACCGCCCGTGTCAAAGGCACATCCAAACCGGTTCTCAGATCTCCAAGGTCTAGCTGCTGTATCCCCGAGTCCAAAGCTGATGAGTTTGTGGCTCATAGGAATTCGCCGATTTGGCAAATGGTTCGCTGTTGATGCTAATGCCCTCTTTTGTACACTCACTCAAAACTTGCGGCCTAGCCTCATCCATGTCAACCGAAAACCGCGCAAACACAAATTACATGGAGCTGTTGAGACATGAAGCCACTTGTTTGGAAAAGCATGGCTACTCCCGTCAATGCTATACGCGTTTGCATCAAACAGCTATGAATTTCACCAGGGCCCGCCCCTGAAAAGTGGTTGGTGGACATAACTCCCAACCTAAATGATGTCCACCAAAGGGTCCCCAATTCAAAGTCATGCCCCAAATTGCTTCGAGGCGTGGCTGTCTGCACAAAAAGAGCCCTTCGGGCTGTCCAACCACTGTCCGGCGGATTCGACGGATAGCACCGACCTTCGCAACCCAGGGCTTCCACTTACCACGACAGGTGAGCAAGGGAAATTTGAAATGGACCTGAACGGAAATAAAATTACACTGCTAAGTAGAATGCCTCGAGAAAGGAGGGCAAATGCTGCCAGTACTTTCAATGCTTAGCAAGGTTCCAATAAATCAAACAAAATAATCAAGCGTACCCGAATTTAACAATGGTGGGTGTGTCTTCGCGGCTCAGGCACTGATACAATTACTTGATCCTGACTGGACACTCTCAGTGACAGTCCTACCGGCCCGCCGACCAGCAACCAATCTGTCCATGCAACCAATCTATATACCTACCAACCCACCAACTAACCAACCAATCAACTCCAGGCGACCGAGCAACCAACCAGCCGGCGAGCCGAGAGACCAATTAACGCGCCTGATGATGCATTTCCCCCAGCGCTGCAGGAAGGGTACTAAGCCTAGAGAGTCAAGCGGTGAAGCCCTATCACTTCGAAACAAGCACGGGGCCCAATCCAGACTGTTGCCTGCATGGGTTTCCCTTTGAAATTGTCCCCATAGTCCAACTCGTCTTGACGCGCATTCACATGTCGCTGGTTGAGGATTGAGCCTGATGCAGTGACCCGCCGCAAGAGAACAAGAGGGCCCCAAAGGGCCAAGTTGCAAAGTCTTGCCAAATGGAAGAAAGACCATGCTTGTGGAGACAGGCAAACACAGAACATGTACGGGAAATGCGCCGATACCTACTATCCGTCTGATGGGTGTTTGGCTGTATGTCAGTATGGTTGAGTGCAAGGAGACGGCACAGTTGCCCTTGTGTCGGCAAGTGACGCTCGGGGCCTTGCATCAACCACAGACCCTCTTTTTCTCTTCTTCTTTCTCTCTCTCTCTCTCTCTCTCTCTCTCTCTCTTCTCTCTCTCTCTTCGTATCGGGGGGCTTTGGTAGATGCCCTCATCGGAGATGGGGTTGAAGCTCAGATCCATGTCCAACCAGTAAAGATAGCACTTCGTCTCGAGGAACCTGAGGGTCTTTGGCAGCCGGAGCGGTGACCCAAAGTCAATGCATCTATATATATATATATATATCTCTTCCTCAGTCTGTCAGTCGTGTTCCCCCGCTCCCCAGACGGAAGAATGAAGCTCGTATTAAACAGAGACCGCCCTGCGTAATTACAGTCCATGTGCTTAAAGTGTCACAAACCGCCGTTTCAAGACAAGACGGACACTTTGATTATCATATCGAGCACACAGCTTTGAACAGCTTAAAAGGACATTGGTCCCAGTGGTATGACACACACCAGTGGATTCCGTGCTCAGCCCGTACTGGCCGAATTCCTATTGGGATAACATCAACAAAGCGTGTCTTAGATCTTTTTCAACCAACAGTCGAGATGAATACACCGCTGGCTTGGGACCTCTTTGGTGTTTGCTGGTTTCCCATAGTTAGTCACTATGCTCATGTATGTTTGTAGCTCTATAAGTCAAGCCTCTGCGCTAACTAAACCGTTGAGTGCCCTTAAGTCACAACGGGTGCACAGCAAGGCCTGACTTTAACACGCTTCAACCACAAACACATGCACAAGTTGCACAAACAGTTGGTTCGTTGACAAGCAACTCATCTCAAGAACAACGGTCCTTCCATTTCCGCTCAAACGTCCCCCCTTCTTCCTATGCTCAAATTTCACCAGCAACTCCTAGCAACCTGTATAGCTAGTAACTGGCCACTGGCGACTGTTTTTTTTTGGAACCAGGCTTGGTTCCCAAAAAAGTGGGAACCAAATTCCTGTCTAACGGTTTTAACGGTTCCGTCTAATTTCACGGTTATGGGCCTCTATTTCACCCATCCGGGCCTTTTTTAAACGTTATGGGCCCCAATTTCGCGGTTTCGGGCACTTGTGGTTTCTGGAACCTGCGGTCAGTTCCCAATATGGCAGGTAACCAAGCTGGTTCTGCACATGGAGGTAACTGGAAGCACTGGGATACATATCAGAAACCCTCAAAAACGGGGCACCGATCCGGAATTCTGGAGAGGTGGGGTTGCTAGTCGCCCCAGTCCAGTTGACCCAAAAAGTGCTTACCGAGTTATCCCTCAATTGAGATAAAACAAACTAGGCATGATGACAAAACAAAAACAGAAAAGCAACGCACTTGGTCTTGCCGACTCAAAAAGGGTCTCCAGGGAGGCAACAAACCTCGACACCATGGCCTATGGATTTCTCGAGGCGTCGCAACCTGTCAATGTCTACAGGCATCAAACGACACATGGATCAACCTTTGAACACTCGATCAATCTTTGGAATAGCTAGCGCAGCACAACCAGTGTCTCGAATTACGGGAACCCAACGAACTTGCTGCCGTTCCTGTTGATTTCCATTTAGAGCAACACCCAAAAGGGGCCAGAGCCTCTTCATAGAGAAGCCCCTTTTTGAGGGTAGTGCTCGTGCCATTGTTTTTTTTGGGACAGCTATAGAACACCCGTAGCGCTCACGCTGTCGAGTGATATCCGGGTGGTTTATCCCAGCAATCATACAGTTTCATCCATCCCAGGTGGTGCAGGATTCTGTCTCTCCACAATACGTTTTACAACAAGACAACCTTCCTCCTCCAAACATAGCATCTGTGGGGATGGTACAAGTACCAGGAAGATCAGATTCCGGTTCAAAGAGCCTTCTGTCTCCATGTTTGCGGGAGAAAAGGCAATGTAAGGGCTGAACAACCGCACATGATTGTCTGATTGTCCTGTGATTGATTGTGAACAGTAAGGCTTAATGGTACCCCACAACCCCTTCTAATTCTCAAACCAACATGCGGCCCCCATTTTCACAAGGCCCAAAACGGCACAGCTCCCTCGCTCTTCCTTCGAGCGGCCAGGTGAGCTCGTCGAGACGGATTCTCAGCGCGGCGTTGTTGAGGTTGGTGTTGTGGAGGTCCGCATGGATGGTGGTGGTCATGGACTGATGGGGCTCAGGTTTTTTAAAAAAAAAGAGGTTGGAAACACCTACAATCATGCGGCCATGAATTTTAAGAGGTGGACACGAATCCGCACCTAAATGATGTCCACCAACGGGTCCGATATCAAAAATCATACCCATGTGGTTGGTGAACATGACTCCCCATCTGATGTCCACAGGGTCCCCATTAAATTCGCATCCAGGTTCTCAGTAAGGAATGCACTGTGGTTTTGGGAATGAACCAGATCCCCAGGAAGCCAGGATGGCCCAGGGATGGCCCAGTTCGGGGTTCCCTCATTCCCTGGGACCGAGAACCAAGTCAACTCAGGAGATTCTCGGGGCTCCTTCTGCTTTTGAACACCGAAAAAGGTACCAACAAAACAAAAGAACAAAGACACCAAATGCATATAATAGGTGGGGCACGTGGTTTCACCAAGCGTCAGGGCCCCTTCAGGCTGCAGCCCAAAACTACGGCCTCTCCGTTTTTGGGATGGCCCTTGGGAAAACAAAGAGAACCAGTCTGAAATATCCTGAAATGGCTTGGTCGTTGACATTGACACGCTTTTTCGGGTTCGCCCCTTTGTGCGACCTATTTCAAGATCAAGATCGCCAAAAACAGATGTGCCCTTTCAACTCTTTCAAGGAGACCATGGTCTGATTGCAGAAATCAGGTTGGCCAGGAAGCTATGTAGCTTGTTCGGCTTCCTGTTCCCTCACACCTCCGCCAAGCTCAAGTTTGACTCAAACCTCCGCATGAGGGTCGACACCTGTGACGTTCCAGTTTCGGGTTGGGAGATATCCAACTGTGCCTGCTCATATTGGGAGGTCTCATTCGCCTAAGCAAAAGCGGTTCCAAAGGAAAATTTATCTCTTTGTTTGACAGCCTGCCCTTCTTGCCTGCTCGATCTCAGGCTCAAACAAATCGGACCCTCCAATCGGGTTGGCTCAGGTTGGTTCGGCCCAATTCAGGCATGTCCGCAACCCTGGCGAATCAAACGGCTGCTTACGGCCAAAATGCGTTGAAGACACCGCAGTGACGTAACCCAAAACAAGCTGTTTGCTAATGGGTTCAGCCCCAGTAAACCATAAGACAGAGGGTTCCTGCGTTGTTCGGATTGGTTCCCGATTTGGCTTCCCGTTTCTTCCATTCAAAATTTGGGCGCCCGCCTTGACATTGGCCAATGAAGTTAGTTGCAACTCGCCTTGTGTGAATCCTTCCAAGGCCAAAATGGAACGTTTGCTCTAGGTCTTTGACCAAATGGCACAAATGCCATTGAGGGGCAAGGGAAGAAACGAGGATCCCCTTGTTTAGCTTGTGAAGCGACACCCACCCAGCAAAGGGGAGAAAGGGTACTGGACTACTAGGTGCTGGTGTTGATGCGTTGGAAGGGTGGCTAGCCAGGCTAGTCATGGCTGACGTCATCCATACCTCATAAGCCCCCCCAGCGATGGCACAACCTGGGTCACAAATTTGACTTGCCCGTTGCCGTGCTCGCTAGCCGGTTGCGAAAGCTTCAATGTAATACAAAGCAGGGCATAGGGAATCGGACCGTCCGCCTCACTTTTATCATCATGCTTGATGGCCACGAAGCCAGGATGCATTGCGAGGCAGGATCGAGTTGCGCAAATCAAGTATGTCGACTCTGTTTGATCTCAGATTTCTTTGGGTAAGGGCTCACAGTGACTCGGCAAAACATGACCACCCGAGAGAGGTGTTATGGCGTACTGGTGGGCGAGAATAAACGCCTCTTCGGGCCTTCAAGCATGGGACATCTCTCTGACTGGCCCATTGCCGATGTTTTTCCCACAAATCAACATGCACTCCACAAGACATGCCCAAAAAAAAGGATCCGGAAATACTTTGACCCTTTAAACACCGCTGCACAAAAAAATCACAAAACCTCAAAATTGCATGGGACCCCTATCAAACGCGTGCGGCTGGCACCCCGGAAAAATGCCGCTGTGGTTCCAGCCAAATGCCAGCTCGCCCCGAATCGAGGAAAAACCTTGAGCCCAGGCTGAAGCCGTCGCAAGCGGGGCGGTCTGCAGTGACCAACGAGACTGATCCGTGTACGGTGGTTCCCCTCACAGGAATTACCTGGATGATTTCGCAATGGAGAAAGACGCTGCTGACCTGGTGGCGGTCGGGAAAAAACAGGTCGACATGCTGTGCCGGCGGGAAGGAGTGGAGTTAGACGTGCATCCTTCCAGTTGTGAACCTCATTCATTTACTGACAAAAGCCATGGACCATTGGCCCCTTCCGTTCATCAAGAACGGCAGCTTGCAGAAAGGGAACGAAGAACGCCCCCGTATTTCTTTTAGTGGCTGGGTTACTTGCCATCGGACGTTCCATTGTTTGTCCTCTGTCCACATTGAGTTGCACATGTTTTGTATCCCGGGCTTCCGGGAGTGTCTCTTTGCGCCGTGGTGAGTTCACTCAGCATCTTCTTAGAAGCTTCTCAGGAACTTCCTGGGGGCAAAGAGGCCCTGTCTCCTCTATACTCTAGCAGCCCCTTTCAAGTCAAGCCAAACAATCGAATCAGAACCTGGAGTGTGGCCTTTGCGCTCACAGAAATCAGAACAAGAGAAACAACGAGGAACGGCCCACACAAAGCCGCTTCCTTCAGGTTCCTTCTCTTTGCGTTTGGGATAAAACAAATGGGGATATGTGATCTAGTGAGGGGTGGTCAAAACTCCAAATCTTTGGGTGGTCGAGGTTTCTCTTAGTCCTTGCTGTCTTTGCATTGGTTCTCTATTTTCCAAGTGCCCAGCCCTACCCCAAAAGGCTTTTTGACCAGAGATCCCCTGCCAAAGGATATATCGACCCCTCCTTTTAAGATGGTGCGCTCCCCATTGCGAGTGAGCCAACTGAATCCCAGCACAAGACCCGCGAAATTGTGGTAGCAAATTACAGGGTGGCACTGGTTCGGCCCTTGCATGGCTCTGCAAAGTGTGCTTGTGGCAATGCCCCCGATCGGCGGAGATGTTTGTTGCCCGTGTATCCAGGGCTCTAGTCTTTGATTACACCAAGATTCTCCTTTTGGGGAAATGGGCCAGCCGTGGGTTTAAGTCAACTTTGGGGCAATCAAAAGAGAGAACCTTGCGGGTATCAGTTCGGCATCTCCACAAAGTGGGCGCTGAGTTTGATTTGGACCCGTCAAAAGGACTCTAACCGGATTTTCTGCACTTTGGAGCAAGCTAGTCCCCAGTCATTAGAACCCGTTGCGGGTCTCTGAATTGATTAGCTTTGCCGCTGTGCCTGCATCTTAAGGTGGGCGACGTGCAGTCACACGGACGTTGCTTTAAGTGCCAGTCGCGCATCTCGCTTCTTTTGCCGTGCTCGCTGGAGTTTGAAAGCGACTGGTCAACCGCTTGCAAAAATTGACCATTCATGATGGATATATATATATATATATATATAAAGCACAACCAGGATTCCATTCTTAGACTGCCCCAAGGTAGAAGGCAGAGTTAGCCCCAGTGGTTGGTGGTCCATTTGGGGAAGTAAAACCTGCCCTGCGTTTAAGACTCCTAAAAAATGGAACCCTGAACACAACTGGCCAGAACTGTGAGGCAATGCAAGAATCCACGGCGAAACGGGCCACGTCGGAGTGGGTATACACCTCCTTCATGGACGCAAACACATATACCGGTATGCTCAGGGCACCATTTTCCCAGGTGGTTGACTCACAAGCCGGAGCACCTCAAGACAACCGAGCCAGGTTTTTTTTGTTCCAAATGGAACGGCTTTTATCACCAGCAAGAGTCTGACCCAGTGGCTTCCAAGCTCTATGTACAAGGCCCTTCAACTTGATAGCCGACCGGGCCATCTCTCGCGCAGGCGACGGACCAGCAAGGGTCACTTCAAAGTTGATGAGCCGCCTCAAGGCGGTCGGCTCAAAAGACCAAGGCGAAGAGCACTTGGCAGTCTTTCATTACGTGACGGCAAGGGGAACTCCTTCATGTTGAGTGAAGGACTGCAAACAGGAGACGTGGGGTGTCCTTTGGGAAATGAAATCCAGATTGAACCGCAAAGCAAAACACCCAGAAAGACGTCTCGAGGCTCCAAAGACTTCAAGTTCATCTGTGCACGGGTCAGTCTCCTTCACGTGCAAACGGGTCCAACGTGCGTCCCTGGAGTTTGATTTTGGCAATCCAGTTGGCCCTTTCAGAAGCAGCAAGGATCCCGACGAAAAGAACTTGGAATCCAGAGACGCCTCATTTGGGAGGAGCATATCCTCCCCGAAGTGGGTCCTGATCCTCGGCCCCAAAGTGGGTCATACCCCTCAACCCCCCCTCTCCCACCCATTGAAACTCCTGGGAGCTTCTTACCTGTACCACTGAGACCCCCCCCCCAAAAAAAAAGTGGTTTAGTCTTGCGTTCCTTTTCACAAACAGCCACAAAAGGGATCCACGCTGTGGGACACCCGTGGCAAGGTCTTGACAAGTTCCTGAAATCTACAATATGTCGACAACTTACTACAATTCCCAAGCAGAACATAGAGACCTTCATCGTAGGTGAGCTCGTGTTCTTTCAGGGTGAGCTCGCCTGTGGGGGGCAAGAACATGCAAGAACCTTTAAAACATGTTGACAGTCCCAATAATAGAAACGTGTGCGGAAAAAAAAAGCCGTCCCCGTTCCTTGGTTGCTGAACATGAAATCCGTGGATGCCATTCGCAATGCGTAAATTTTGAAATCATGGCGGGAGAACCCAGCACTGCTGTACTTCTCGTGCTGTTGCGGCTGTTATTCTCGTTGTTGGTGTTATTGCCGGCCGTCGCCGTTGCTGCTGATGGTGGTGCTCTACACAAACACTTCCCAAGACGCTCAGAGGCCAACAACCCAAGACGGAGGAGTGACCCGAAGACCAAAGGTGGCAGCACCTGGCTGCTCAGAATCCAATAGTTCCCAGCCTGACTCCCGAAAACGGCACTCTTGACCGTATTTCTGGAAGGGCATCACGCAAATTCGCGCTAGCTTCAAGTCCAGTCTGAACGTCTCCCCAAATGCCAATGACATCTACCCACTTCCAACTCAATGGAGAGACGCCCAGGTGTGACATGGATGCTACCAATTACGTTTGCGGCCGTTTAGCACTACCAGTGGGGCATCCAAAACGCAAGCTGGATGTTTTGTAGCTGCAGGTAGAATTGCCTTGTAAATCCTCTGTTTCACTGCTGTTGGCCTTATTCACCCCTTAGACCTTTTGGAAACAAATCACTTTTCCATCCTGCACAAGGTGATCGACCTTTTGGTCAGAGCAACCCTATTGCGGTTGAAAGTCAATGTGCAGAGTCCCTCCATGAGTGCAGAAACCCTCTTGGCGGTGTTCCGTGAATTTCTCCAGACATCGGAATCGGGCGCCCAAACGCGGTTCGGATCAAAGCGTCCTAGCAGTCTTGAAGGGACATGGGTGACTTTCTTGCTTTCTATGTTTTTTGTTCTTCTTTCATTCTTTCCACCCCAACCACACCCCACCCAACCCCATACCCCACCCCAAACCCCATGAGCCCCACACCCTGCCTCTCCCGAGACCTCACGCGAGGCGGGCCAGCTCGCACGCGGCGGCGGCGCCCAGCGCCTGCGCCAGGCGGCTCATGGAGGGCGGGGACCGCGCCTCGGACGCGCGGAGAGCGTCGGTGCTCAGCCGGGAAGACATGCAATGACTCTAAAAAACCATCCAACTGGTGGTTTCCTAAAAAATCCCTGGGTGAAAAGTCCCTCATTCCCTGCTGAGCACCAGCAAGAAAAGGGTGGGTTGTGTTGTCCTTAAAACGCCTGAAAATCTCTTGAAACCAATGCGATTTGCTTGCTTCTTGCAGCTTACCCTTTCAAACAACCAGTTTTTGCGACAAGAGGGACTCGCAATTTCCCCTGCCCCTATTCCATTCAGCGGGCTTCCCAGAATGAACGCTTGACGAATCTGTAATTCATACTAAACCACAAAAACAAGACCTTTTCGTAACTCAACGGAAGAAGTGAAGCCTGGGCAAGCTCCGTGAAGGACCTTCACGATGGGTTTGAAGCTCACCCTCAGAGCTCCTTCTCATTTGCCCAAAGGATTTGCTTTCAGTCCAACCGTCATCTCAGATCCCTCGCATCGAGGCGCCGGTGACGCGGAGTCGCGCCACTGGTCGTGACCCTTCAGCAGGGGCTCCAGCACTTTGCTGCGGAAGTTCCTCGGCCATGGGCCGTGACATCCAATGACCAGGGCTTGGGGGAACCCCGAAAGGGAAAATCTGGAGAACTCGACCCACCGGAACCTTCAAAAGTCAGTTTGCAACCAGGGACCAAAAGAGAAGTACCGACAACTTCAAGAGCCAGACCTACGGCCAAATGCAATGCGGTTCCCAACAAACAGCCCAGCGCGGTCGGCCGCCATGATTTTCTAGCTCCATGATCTTAACGCCACAAAACGGCTGTTTTCCAACCCAAGCTTGTTTTTTCCCACTCGGGGAGGACCATGTAACACAAAAGCAAGACTATGTCAGCTGTACTTTGCTTTTGTTTCTTACAAGAATATGGAGCCTGTATATCGCTCGTGGAAGGGTGTATGGGACCCTTTATACCTTTGAAGGCTCATATCACGTGAGGCCCATGGCCTGCCAAAACTTCTTGTTGGCGACATGTCAGCCCTCGCAGCTGACCTTGTGGGAACATTTGGCGTGGATCAAAATGGGTATCCATCTTGGAACCCTAGTAAATGGAACCAAGGACTAAACCTGCGGTCCCCCGGTGCCTTATTTTTGACCCATACCCATTTGGTACTCTTTGAGCCCCCACCGCGGCGCAAAATCCCACCTCTACCGCTGCTCCCGCTGCATGATGGTCCATTTTGCAGTCATCTTCTTTCACAGCATGGGTTTTCAAGGGTCCCTTTTCTGCAACATCAGCTCCGAGTTGGCTCCAAGTGTCCAGGCCCCCCAAAAAAAACAGTTAAAAAAAAAAAAAACACTTTGCTTGGGACCCCCCACATCACTTGACGTGCCGGCCGGGAGTCTGCTGGAAGAAGGGCATGCGCGTGAAGAAGGTGGCGACGCTCCGCAAGCGCCCGGCCACGACGACCTGAAGATCGGATTTCGTCAGGACGTGAGCATCGCACGCTTGGCCCAAACAACTCTGCTTGTTCACCACGCAAATTGGTTATCCCAAAAACTGGTGAGGCGAGTTGTAGTAACCAAGGAGGGAAAGATGGGGAAACCATGATGTAGAATCCAGACGAAACAAGTATCTGGATACCTAGCATACAAATGCTGGTAACTGAAATCACTGGGACTTGTATGTGCTTCAATTCAAAGCATTTAGTTTTGCATGTATGAAGAACGACACAGTAGGCTTGCCAAAGTCATGTTGATCATGACTCATGACCAATCCACACCAAAACAGCCTCTTTGTTGAAAACCAAGAACTTAGACTCCTGCTTGTATGCACCCAAAAGGCAACCAGAGAGGACAATTACACCTCCTCAGGCAAATGGAAGAGCACACATTGAGACCCAGCGAGTGCATGTGACAATCAGACCCTCTTGTTTTGGGCGCAAATAGGGAAACGACCCCCATTCGCATTGCCCGTTGCCCGACTGCTTGCCACTTCCGACCACACGCCGTTGCTTGAATTCATCAATCCAGTCCACAAACGAAAAGCTGCGCTACGCCAGATCCGGCTGCTCGAAAGGGTTTTGCACGCCCAGTGACTTGCAACACCCAGAAAAAATCCAGGACATCTTGCCGAAGTGGATACTGATTCACCTGCCCAAAGTAGTATCCTTTGACAGGAAGCTGTATCCCTCGCGGGGCCCCAGGTGGTACATCAATATTTGGCGAGCTAGGGAGCCCCCTTTATCCTTTGGATGGCGATCTGTTGGGACCACGACCTCAGAACGAACCAAACTTGGGAGAGCCACAGTTGAGTGACAATTTTTCAATGATGGTTTCGTTGAATATCCTCTTTGCTTTGACCCGTGAAGGGAGTTGTGCCATCTAAGTGGGGGCAGGTGGTTGGCTTTGGGACAGCGCTCGAAACTCGCCTTGGCCGTAGGGCTGATGAGCTTGATTGAGTGATAGATTGATTCCCCGAATAGGAAGCACCTTACGGTGGATGGAAGAAATCTTGCATCTCTTTTGAAACAGATCCATGCCATCTCGTTACGACTTGCCCCGCGCCCCCTACTTAACATTGGTGCTCAGTTTGGCCAAGTTGGGTTGGGTCATGCAAGATTTAGGCCATTAACAACCTATGAGCGGTTTTGCTCGTCGCAACTCAATGTTAAGTAGGGGGCGCGGGGTGGCAAACATGTAGTCTTGTAAACTCATGCAAGATTTCTTCCATCAACAGTATGTCACGCTCCTTTCGCTATTCAATGCTTGAACGTAGTAGGGTGATTGACTCTCCCTGTCACAATGGAAGTGGACCAAGTGGACAAAAGGCCAGGTCAATGTTATAGCAAGTTTGGCAGACTTGCGGTTCCTCGCTCCAAGTTCCTGGCGATTGTTCCTCTCAGGTTCATCTCACGGTGAGCAAACTCACCCAACTTTGACTACCAACGAGTTACGTTTCGCCGTGAAAGGAATCGACCGATCTTCCAACTGTTCAGAAAGTCGCGAGCAGGACTGGAAGTTCGCAACCATCTTGACACGGGCGCAATATGCAGATTCCACGCATGTACCCCAAAACTTGGCTGGGGGCGTATGTTGAAACCCCCCAACCCTACCCCCAACCTCCCAGATATCCCAAACAAAAATGGGTCGTGGATTGCACCAATTAACATGGAACCTGACAGGGGGGTCATGGCAGACTACATTTTCCTTTTTAAAGGGGCCGGGTTCCTGTCAGGTTCCATGTTGATTGGTGGGAGGGTAACTCAAACTCAAGGACATATATATTCAGATATTTGGGATGTTAATTGGTGGGAGGGTAAATGAAACAAATCCCAAAAATATTGGTCTTTGATTCTGAGTGATAGTAGTTGAAATGCCTTTAAACAAACATTAGTGTAAAAAACAAAGAAGAAAAGAATAACAAAAACAAATGCGGCTTTCCGGGTGGATTTATTGTTTGCGCCAGGCGCCGCCAGGCGCCGGCGCTGCGGGTCCGGCGGCTCCCCGCGCCAGGCGCTGTGCAGCTGCCGCCGCCCGTCGGAGTCGGCCAGGTCGGCGGCGCGGTGGAGGCCGCGGCCGCTGGGCCAGGCGACCTCCACCTTGCCCCGCAGGAGACCTGAAAGCCGAGAGGCGTAGGTGTCATCGGGGAGAGGTGTCATGGGGGGGGGAAGGGTCATGGGGAGGGAGTCAGGAGATATGTGACAAAAAGGAGCCTTTTTAAGAGAGGGTGTCCACGACTCGCCTTTGAGACCTCAGGTTGAAAGTGGCACAATTTTGGATAGACAAAGGGGATGATGAAACCAACATGGAGGAATTGCGCCATCTACTTCCATCCAACTGAAGGAGAGGTGAGGCAGCCTTTTGGAACAACAGATGGGTTGCACTGATAGATGATCAACAACAAACTGGGCGCGGAAGACTTTCAAATAAACTAACCCGAAAAGTACACCTATGGATGTTGTCGCTTCAAGTTGAAGCGATAACACATCCCCTACTCTTAAGAAGTTTTGGATCGGTTTTGCGTGTGTGTGTGAAGAGGGTGTCATTCACAAGGCTCTTAGGGTTAAAAGGAAAGCGAGTTGACAGCACAATCTCTGAAAAGGTGGCGCAGTTCAAGGCCTGCGACCACCCCATGGGAACACGGAATCCATTGACATACCGCATGCTTGCAATACCATGGTTACCAGTCTGAAAGAAACCACCACATCAAAGATATATAAATACCTAAAGCGTTACCTACTTTAGTGGCAGCTGAACGCACTAGCCTCTAAGTAGTTTCCCACAATTGGACTTTGAAGGGTGGCTGAACCCCAACAGGTCACTGGTCAGGGACATGGATTTGCCAGAAACCTTACTGGGCTCAACCATTCGCTTCTCGGGTGTCCTCATCGCAAGCCCAGTGCCCGATCCGTCCGATCCAGGGCCGCGCGGAAGCGTCTGAGGCCTCGGCGGGTCACGTGCCCGCGGCCGGCCACGTGGCAGGTGGCGCCGAAGAGCCCCGCCACCCCCGGAGCTGTGCACCGCAGCGGGCCCCGCGCCGCCACCTCCGGACGAGCGCGTTCGGGGCTGGGGGGGGGAGGGGGTTGGGGAGGGGTTTGGGGTGGGGTGGGGGGTGGTCTAAGTCAGACCAAAACAGGTTCTACATTATTCTACGATTCTCAGGGGTTCCGTCCATTTCCCTTTCAGAGCATTTGGCTTCGGCCCAAGGGAAACCAAAAGGTCGAAAGCTCGGCTGCAGTTCGAATTACCTCGCCTCGGAGCCCTCGCGGAGCTCCGGGTTGGGCGCCGAGGTGTCCTCCCAGAGCCTGGGCTGCGTGCCGGTTGGCTCGCGGGCATCAATCGCAACCACGAGCTCTTGGTGGGGAGTGGCTGGAATGGTTGGTGGAATGGCCAAGACCAAAATATAGCTTGGGACGAATGCGTGCCCATGCATCTTGTGCATCTGCCCATCATCTGCCCATGGTAGCCGTTGAAACGAATTGGAGTGGCAGTTAATGTGTGTGTGTGTGTCATTACACAATGACCAGATATGACCAGTCTCACATGGGGAAGTATGGCTCAACGGAAACTTGGAGTAGCTACAAAGGCAAGCGTGCGGGAGCCTGTTGAGTGAGCGATGTGCAGTACGTATGCCATTCTGGGGACAGAAGTGACCTAGTTGGGGTCATCCGAGTACCCAATACAACCAAACCAATACACGTGTCCATACATACATATGTATATGTAGATGTATATCATATTTAAGTATGTGCTATGTACTAATATTGTATACAGTATACCATAATATGTGTATACGTGCCAATCTGTGGTTGTGTGTGGGTGCTTCCACCCATCACATCACATGTATCCAAACTCCCATGCCCATCCAGCCAGCTGACACTTGCACTGGCCAGCAAAGCAATGAAGAAGCCACTGCTGCTCAGAATAATTGCAAAACTTGGGGGCAAGAAAGCAACATAACCAACCAGATCTACAAAGCCAACAGGCCGAAAGAAGCAAGATACTACATTTTGTTTAAACAAAAAACCCTAAGGGTGCAAACGTTGTGCCATACTCCATCGGCTTTCCGAAAACAAACGGCCATGCCCTAGGCTCTAGCCCGTTGATTTCTCTTCAAGGGACAAATTCAAGGCTGGCACCCGGACATCGGAGCTCGGAGACTCTCTAACTCGAGACGAGGCGCGCGCGGGCCTCGATGAAGAGGCACTCCTCACTCCTTGAAACCCAGGGTTTGGTGCCGGGTGGATGAAGCAGGAAAAACAAACCTCTGGAGCCAAGAGGGTGGCTTACTTCACCAGGAAAATGGGTGGATTGGCCAAAATAAGTACAACTATACAAGATGTCTTTTTTGTTGATGAAATGGTCCCAGGTTTTGCTCAACTCGAGCTGTACAGATATGGGCCATAATCGAAGCCTGCATAGTGGTTCCATTTAATTCCAGAAGGACCGCTCATCACAGTGTTTGTGATCATTGTCCATCACAAATCACATCCCCACCAATGACCGCTCTCTGAGAAAAGATCTGCAGGGCAGACATCCGTGCCTATGATTTCGGGTGTGCCGACTAACCTTGATCAACCGATGTGTGGATTGTGGCTCAAGTCGGTCTTGCTGACTGGGTGGCTGAACAAGGATCTGCAAAAACAAAGCGATGAGGCATCCCCTCTTGGTTTCCTCTGGACAACTTCAAATTCTGGGCTATTTAAGACCCAGGTAAATTGTGACCAGGACCCTCTATGTGGGTTCCTTTTGATTCACCTGTAAACATCGTCCAAAGAGGAAACTTATAGTGAGTACCAACAACAAGAAGGGATCATAGTATGGGTGAGGTCGCACAACCAAAAGCACATAAGGTCATAGTCGAAATTTTGGGGAAGCTCCTTTCGGGCCAGAGCAACAGCAAACACAATTGGCCCCCAACCCAAATGGGTTGTAGGGACACAAGGCCTGGCCGCCACCCTTTCAGGGACGGGCTCTGAAGGGACACACAGCGGAAACTAGTGCAACCATTATGAGTTAGACGAGTTTGACAGAGAAACAAGAAAGGAGACAAAAGTCATCCAAAAACTGTTCGGACCATTACGACTAGTCACGAGTCCTTTCGTGACAAGGAAGTCCGCAGTTCAACAATTTTAGGGGACCCTGCAAAATTGTGTCTTTGCCCTGTGTTCCCCATTAAAACCGTCCTCAAAAGGGTACCATCCAAAAAGACACGCCGAAATCGTCGCTTAAAATGGTGCACGATTCAGAAGCAGGGCTCCCACTGTCGCAAAATAACATACACACGCACTCTTTCTTAAACGAACTCCCCCTTGTTCTGGAAGAGGTTCTGCATGGAAACCAAGGGCAAAAGCACCATATATACAATTGTGATTCTGTGCTTCCGTTTGCACTCAAATCTTGCTTGCCAACGAAACGCCTGTGGGCCCCCAAGGACCTCCACTGAGGCTTTGGACCCTCCAATTGGGAAAGGTGACGCACAAAGAATGCCACAAAAATCCAAACCTGAAATAAGGGATCCCAAGTAATGGATCTACTATCCCCGGGGAAAGAGGGCACTTTAAGGGCCCCAATTACGATAGAACGGATTCAAACCAAATTACCTCGTGATCTTTGGAAAATCATGCTCGTAATGTTGATCCCTTACTACCGAAGTGCCCCAGTTCTCTATCGGCGGCTCGCTGGAAGAAAGGCATCCGCAATCATCCGCACTAAAAGATGGACACCGATCAATATCAAGCAAAAAGACACTCTTTTGGTAGTTTCTTTTTTTTGTATTTGTTTTTTGGTAGTTGTTTGTGAAGGGAAGCTGTGAAGCCCTCGGTTGAACAAGGGACATTCATCCCTTCTGGTTTACTGTTGGGACAACTTGAATATGGAATGCACACCCAGAAAATCACAGGATTCTTGAGCCTCCAAATTCAACCCATTTGAGGGATAGGCATAGGAGGCTTGAGCCCGGCCGGTGGTTTCAAACGCCCTCTGCGGCAAGTTGCGTCGGCTTCAGCTCTGCGAGTGCCTTCTTCGCCTCCAAAGCCCAGCCTCGGGTGGGGTTTTGGGGGGAGATCCGGATGCTCAGGACCTGAACCATGGCCCCTGAGGCATCCCTCACACTTCCATTTGCTTCTTGTCGTTGTGTCAGATTGTGTCAGGGTCTTCTAACTGTGGACAAAACGACATGCGATTCATACAGTAGGCTTCCTGCGGGCTCAAACAAACACTCCGCCATGTCCTCCAAAACTGGAGTGAATGAGGTTTGAATATGGGACCCAAACCAGTGCCCGTGGGAAAAACGGCGGTTTTTCGCCGCACTTCCGCCCTCTGCGCCTCAGGCCACCCATCTCCGAGACCCGCGCGGTAGGCCTCGGCCGCCCCGCGAGTGCCGGGGCGGTTGGCGTCCGTCAGCACCGACCCGTCCGCCAGGAAGAAGCCTTCGGCCTGGCCCTTCTGCAAGGTCTCCTGGGAAAACAGGTGGCCACAACCAGACCAACATGGACGTCCCCCTCCCGAAAAAAGTTAAAAAGAAAAAGGAGAAGGACACAAAGCCAACCCCCCCAACCAAAAAAAGCAAACAAACTGGGTTTTGGAAATGTCATTGAGCCTGTGGCTCCTTCCATCCCTCGCTGTAAGCAATGGTTAATTCCCCCCACCCATCTTGATTCCCATTACTCGGTGGCTTTCTGCTCCCTGCTAAAAGTTGTTCTTTTAGTGGTTTACGGTTTACTGGAAAACCCATTAGCTGGCAAAAAGTTAAAGTCCCAACATCCAAGCAGAATGCACCAAAGATTACAAGTCCTAAATATCACGCGGTTCTGTATAACGTCCCTCTCCTGGTTTTCTTGCGGAAACGACATGAAATTATACCCTGCAACCAGCCATAGCTTTGGGTGGTACACTCAGATGTACCTGGAATCCAACACACCATCCATGTTTCGCGGAGGTCTTCTTGGGAACTGGAAAGGGCCTGAAAAGCTTCATATTATCTTCCGACCCATATCAACATGTTCAAAGAGGAAGTTGGGCTTGCTGTGATCGGAAGCCGCCATATCAAACCAATCTTGGCGGTCTGCTGACAGGGAATGAGCCGGAATGACTCCAAGCATAACCATCCAACTGTTGGTTTCTTGAGGGATCCCAAACGGCCTATTCTCCAAAGCCCATCGTGATGTCCAACGGAGAGGCAGCAATGAAACCTTGCTAATAGTTAAACTTTTGGTAGGATACATCATGAATCTCTAATTGAAAGCTTCAGTTGAACCTTTCGAACCAGAAGCCCAGATGTTGTTGTCAACACCGAGCCTCAAGTACCCGCAGCAAGGCGAGGGCGGGCAAGCCGACGATGACATCCGGCATCATTGCTTCCTGAGAGCTTGGGATTTGCAGCCCCCATAAAGAATGGAAGATCACTTGAATAGAGACCTGCAAAGGGAGATGTGTGCTTTGGTTTTTTTCGGCTGCAACCAAATGCTTGGAAGAAACGCCCAAGAAGTCCTGGAAACAGTTGCGTGAGGAGACTACAGGAAGCATAGCTGTCCAACGGGGTGTCCCGAACTGGGGGACTCCCGTTCCCGTTTATGTGCCTACCTCGAACACCCTTCGTTACCTAAATTTCTGCCCTAAGCCCATGCAGACATATTGCAAAACCAAGGGTCGTCACCAAAATATGGTAAACGTACGCTTTTTCCTGCTTCGAGCCGGGCTGACCGGTCCTCCAAGATGATTGGTCGCTGACCGCAAACGAAGCACACATGTAAAAAAGGTAACACTTGCTCGCCTCCCTCCGAAAACAAAAGGACCCTGTTTTTCAAGGACCGCGCGCTTTTCGAAGCAGCGAGCAGAAAATCATGTCTCGAACACATTTTTTCCCGTAACGCAAATTTGTGTTACAATGGGTGCTCCAGGTATTAAATGGAAACCCAAGGAAGCCTATCATTTCTAGAGTTCCACTATTCCATAGGATGCGAACACAATGCCCAGCATTTGAAATGGTGGAAAGAAACCTGAGTAGACGCAATCACGTGCGTATGTTCACATGTGCACACTAGCACGCTAGCACGCACACACGTGCACACACACACACACACACACACACACACGCACGCACCCACCCACCCACCCACCCACCCACCCACGCACGCACGCACGCACGCACGCACGCACGCACGCACGCACGCACGCACGCACGCACGCACGCACGCACGCACGCACGCACGCACGCACGCACGCACGCACGCACGCACGCACGCACGCACGCACGCACGCACGCACGCACGCGCACGCACGCACGCACGCACGCACGCACGCACGCACGCACGCACGCACGCGCGCAACACGCACGCACGCGCACACGCGCACACGCGCACACGCGCACACGCGCACACGCGCACACACGCGCACACGCGCACACGCGCACACACGCACACACGCACACACGCACACACGCACACACGCACACACGCACACACGCACACACGCACACACGCACACACGCACACACGCACACACGCACGCACGCGCGCACGCACGCACGCACGCACACGCACACGCACACGCACACGCACACACACACACACACACACCCAAAGCATCCGAGATTGAAAAAAATCAATCGCGGCAACCAAATTCAATCGCAGGTAAAAAACGCACCAAAAACAAGGCAAAATCCCAAAAGTCAATCGCGGCCCATTGTCGGCTCACTTGGTGAAATTCAATCCCAGAGTGGTGTCGCAAAATTGTCAAAATCGATCGCGGGCAAGCATGTCAAAAATGAAAGTCAATCGCGGTCCGGGCCATGATGGGGGCGCATGTGCACGGGGCGCATGTGCACGTGCAGTGAGACCATGCACACTCGCAAGCACATGCATCTATTTATACATATATATATAATATTTACGATATATCTGTATATCTATATATATATAAAACGCAAGACATATATATATATAAATATTAAAAATATAAGAGCTGTTGTCGCGTTTTTTTCCACACGCTGTCGCAGCCATTTCAGGCTCAAGCTGAGCGGCTCAAGGCCCAGCAGCGGTCAATCTTCGAGTTCGTCGAGTTCATCGACTGGAAACCGTGAGCGCGTAGGGATCTGCTGCGATAGCATGAGATGCTGGGCGACCCGGTACTTCTGCAGCACTTTGACGCCAAGCAGTCGGCCAGGCGTGCCCCGCGAGCAAGAGCTGGCGATTTGGCACATGAACGACATAAAAGTTTCTCCTGGGTATGTCCACACAAACCGCGGGCTCAAGTGCTTAGACTGTTCGTCTAAGTGCCTGAGCATGTGAAACTTGAAGACGACGTGCCATCCGTTACCCCTGCAGGAGGTGGCTAGCTTGGCATACTCTTCCAGGAACTCCGTCAGCACGCGGGCAAACTCCGCGTGCTTGGCTGCTGGCATGACAAGGTCTCGGCAGGAAGTCGAGTCATAGATTGCGCGCAGCAAAGCGGCCACGCGAGCCCTCCTTTTGCGATGCGCGCTTCCGCGCCCATATGCGGCAGCAAGGGCTTGCACAGCTGGCGCCAAGCGGCGTATTGCGGCACCTTTCATGTGGCGCAACTTCGGGTACTCGCCGGACCGTGGCGCGAAGTTTTCGTATCGCAGCAGCGGCGGCGCGGGCGACCCGACTGCAACGCAGTGCGACCGCAGCTCTTTGTTGAGTCTGCTCAGGCTGGCCGCCTTAGTTTCTGGCCACTCCTGTGTGAGCTCATGGAACACGTTGGCGTAGACGTGGGCTGCCACTCCGAGGTCCACGCAGTGAAGGGTGTCGATGGCAAACATGCATGGAGAGTAGTTGGTCAAAGCTTTGAGTGGATGGTCCAGCGCATCCTGGTCCAGCATGTCTTCAGCCGACCGCGTCAAGGCTGGGATGTCAGCAAGGCGAAGAAGTGCTCCTTTGGCGCAGAGCACCAGAAGCAGGCAAGGCTCGTCCAGTGCGGGAGGCCATACTCGTTGGCCATATGCTCGTAGTCGCCAGAGACAACCCACACTACAGCTCTGAGAGGCAGCGCGGAGCCGTCGTGGTCCAGCCCGTGGGCCAAACGATTGAGATCTTCTACCAAGGCCTGCCACAAGCACCGCCATGTTTCCTTCTTCACAGTGGCCGACTTGGGCATGGCCGCTAGGAGAAACATGCTCTCTGCGATGTCGCACTGGTGCGCCAAGAGGCTCCGGAAGCTCACTGACACGATGGAATCGTGCTCCGCATGGCTCGCGCCGTCGGCAAAAAGTAGCAGCGGTATTGTTTTTTCTGGGCAGAAGTCACGGACATGGTAGTAGCCTACGCCCGTTGCGCGAGGCGAGTCCTTCTGGGCGGCCCAGAAGATTGCGCGCTCTGCGTCCGAGCCCAGCAAGGCTGTGTCCAAGCCATGCTCACACACGCGCCGGATCCATTGGGAAGCAGGCAGCACTGCTTGCTGAGTGTCGAGCGTTGCCGCGCCTTCCGGCGCTCTGACCTTCGTTGGGCAAGTCACCGGCGATAGCGCCGGGGTCACGCAACGGGCAGCGTACGCGCGCAGTAAGTCCCGGTGGCAGTTGCCTTCGTGCGCACCGCTGGCACCTAGCTGCGCCAACGTGTCGATGTCGTGGGCAGAGCAGCCGCTCCGGCGGGCTGCTTGCGCCAGCTTTTGCACAATTGGGCTTGACAGAACGCCCCAGGCCCAAAGCTCCATGATGCAGGTCCAGAGTTGGGAATGTGGTGATGCTGCCTCATCCAGCGCTCTCTCTTCGATCGTGCGCTTTGATCCTCGCCTCCTAGCCATGGCTGCAGGCGCAACAGCTTGGGCAGCAGCGTGCGGCAGAGACAAGCAACGGCTCCAGCGGGCGATTAAAAAAAAGAGCAACCTACGCATGACGTGTGAAAATTATAATAGTTGAATCAAGGCACGCAAACGAGCGCGGGCAGCAAGTCCTTTTCCGAGCGATCTCTGGCTGTCAGGCTTCGAACAAAACTTGCCAGTCGACAAACTGGCTCATGATCAAGTTATATATATGCTCTAGACCGGGCGCGCGCGCCGACTTACAGATCAGGCCGATGTAGCGCGTGTCCGGCGCCACGCGCTCAAGGACTTGACGCATTCGAGCAGCGCCCGCTTACAGACTTCGGCAGTTGCGCCGTTGTCTGCGAGCGCCGCCTGGGCCTGTGTCAGCGCAGCTTTCGAGGCATTGCTGCAGCCGACGATCCGCTGCTTCTGCTGGCCTTTCGATGCGTCCTGCGCGGCGGTCATTTCCTCGATGGCAGCAGTGGCGAGCTTGGCGGTGGCAGACAGGCGGCGCCGAAGCTCCTCACGATGCACAGATCCAACTTTGGCGCTGTACTTCTCAACGTCGTCCAAGCTGACCTTGCTGCTTGGCGCCTGGGAGCGAGATGCCCGGCGGGACTTTTTGTCTTCCAGGGCCAGAGGCGGCTCTTCCTCCGAGTCGGCAGACTGCCCGAACTCATCGTCATCGGCGCTTCCGACATTGTCGGACTCTGCGTCGACATTGTCATCCGACCCGCCCTCATCCAGCAGGGCCATCATAGCATCGACGTCTGTGGCCCGCCCGCCACCAGCGCCGATCCTTCCCTTCTTTGCTGGGCGGGCAAGCTTCAAGTCGGACCAGCCCGGAGCTTGCTCGTCAGATTCCAGCTGGCCCCAGACATGCTTGGCGCCAGCTTTTCCTCCTGTGGACAGCGCCTTGAGCTCTTTTTGCTTGGTGGTGCCAGTCTCTTGAAGCTCCCGGCGCCTCCGCACCTGGAAGAACTCGGGGTCAGCCGGATCACGGCGCGACTCCAAGGATCCCTTCTTCAGGCGCTTCTTCAGCTCAAAGCGGCCATACAAGCGCTGGGCTTCGCGCAAGGGGATCCACTCCTCCCGAGTCAGGCGAGACTGCTTCATGACAATCTTTGCTGCCAGAGTGCAGTAAGTCTCGTTGAAGCCGTGCTGAAGCCAAGCAAGCAAGAGCTCGCCTTTCTTGCGGTTGGCGCCTGCCCCTTGCAGACTGACAGCATCGTACTCCTGCCCGTGCTCTTTGCGAGCACGCTCGAACATTTTCGTCAGCGTCTGCCTCTGCGAGTCGGACAAGAGCGCCAAGCGGCGCGAAGTTTCGTCCTCATCGTGTCCGAAGAGGAACTTGCCGATCTCCGGCGCCGTCGTGAGCTGGGCCACGTCCGGCTCAGCGGCCGAAGCCGCCGGTTTCTTCAGCACGGATGCTGCAGGGCGCTTCAGGGGCATGGTCGCGTAGGGCTTGGCGCAAAGGAGCGTTGAGACAGCGTGCCGGGCCAGTAGCAGAGCGTGCTGCGGAGCCAAGCGACAGCGGCGGACGGAAGTCTACTGGTAACGACATGCTTTTTTAAAAAGATAACAACAACCACAAGATATCTTATGACGTCTTCTGACATACTTCTGACATCTTCTGACACACTTCTGACATCTTCTGACACACTTCTGACATGTTCTGACATCTTCTGACGTGAAAAGACATTCTCTGACACGTTCTGACGTCAAAAGACATGCTCTGACATGTTCTGACATCTTCTGACGTCAAAAGACGTCCTCTGACATGTTCCGATCATATTGAAGTCAGAAGACGTCTTCTGACACGTTCTGACCTCCTGCCAGTGTTTGAAGAGCGTTGCCATGTGGTCAAGCGTGTTTGGTTTTCTCTCAGTTTCCAATTCTAGTGGGTGTACATGTACGCCAGCGAATGTTGTATGTGTATACATACATAAATACATACATACATACATGAGAACCCACCACATATATAAAAATATATATATATATATATAAATGTGTGTATATATGTAAATACATGTGTGTATATGTATATATGTTTATGTATGTATATGCAAGAGCGCACAACCCGACGCCTTTTTTTCTCCATTCGTCTGCTGTGCCGGAGCGAAGGAGGCAGTGGCAGCCCGGAGGCCGATTGCTTGCCCTGGGGCCATCAGCCCAAAAGCCGACAACGAAGCCAAGCCAATCCACTGGCGCGCGCAAAATCGCCAGCTTGCCGGCCCTGAGGCCAGATGATCTCAGCGGCGTGCCAGAGCTCTAGAAGCTCTCAAGGGCTTGCACAGCTCTCTCAAAGATAGCGGTCAAGGCTTTTGCCTTCTCACCCCCGGCTCCGGAGCCAGAAGGGTCGTTCTTGTCGTCGGGCGGGCCGCGGTGGTCCCGAGGATCCGCCTCGCGGTCAGGAGCGGACCGGCGAGCTTTCTTTTTCTTCTTGCGCTTCGAGACATCCGAAGCCTCTGACGCCGCCTCCTCCTCCTTGACTTCACTCTTGACCACCTTGGCAGGCCCAGCGGCCGGCGGGCCATCAGCGCCTTGCTCAGCTGCCTCGCCGGCCTTGCAAGCCCAGGCACGGTGATACGGGCTCTGCCGGTGCTGATGCCAGGACCAGTCACCGTTCGTGATCCAGCGCCAGCATGTGGCGCACTGGGACGTGTCCGAGGAGCGCGGGACTCTGCGTGCGCCGCCGCGCGACTTGCGGCGGCCGGCATGGTCTTCCTCCGGCTCCCCAGCTGCCAGCGGAAGAGAATCTTCCGACACCTTGCGGGGCGGCGCCACGGGCGAGCGAGGCCGGCGCTGGCCCGGCGTGTCCGCCTGGGGCGCCGAGTCGCTGGGGAGAGCAGGCAGCTCTGCTGGAGCAGCTGGCGCAGCTTTGGGGAGAGCCGTTGGCGGAGTGTTGGCAGCAGGAGACACCGCTTGTGCAACTTCGCTGGCGGGGTACGGAGGGCCTGCAGGCTGGTCTCCAGCAGGTGGCCCATCGCGCCCCGGGGCTGGCGGAGGCGGCGACATGACGGACGCCGACGAGTCGCTGCACTCGCTTTCCGAGCTCTCCAAGCTGTCGCTCTGGTCAGCGCTGCTGCTACTGGTCGGCTGCCGCGGTGTCAGCTTAGCCTTCCGGCTCATGCTGCGGGCTAAACGAAGCAGGAAGCAAACCAAGAGCAAAGCGGCAGCAGAGCAACTCATGCGCAACGAGACATGCTGGGGTTTCTAGAAACACCCATGTGTGCACATGCAGACACAACAAGTTGGGCACGGAGGAGCGCACGCTTTTTGCTTGCCAGCGGGCACTGCCGTGCGCGCGACCCAGAAGCCAGCCCTGTCAAATCAAGCGGCCGCCGCGGCCCGTAGGCCAGCGCTGCCTTCTGTGCGGCCCGCAGGCCAGCGGTGTCCACTGGCGGCCCGGAGGCCAGCACAGCCACAAGAAAGCGGCCCGGAGGCCAGCTAAGCCACAAGCAAGCGGCCCGAAGGCCAGCTAGCGACACTGGCTGCTCAGCGATGTTTCGCGGCCCAGAGGCCAGCGGCCGCGAGGCCAGCACAAGCGAGCGGCCCGTAGGCCAGCGCTGCCTTCTGCGCGGCCCGCAGGCCAGCGGTGTTTCTGGCGGCCCGGAGGCCAGCACAGCCACAAGAAAGCGGCCCGGAGGCCAGCTAAGCCACAAGCAAGCGGCCCGAAGGCCAGCTAGCGACACTGGCTGCTCAGCGATGTTTCGCGGCCCAGAGGCCAGCGGCCGCGAGGCCAGCACAAGCGAGCGGCCCGAAGGCCAGCTAGTCGGCTTTGGTGCGCGGCCCGAAGGCCAGCGACACTGGCTGCGCCTAAGGATTGGCTTGAGGCTGAAGCTATCCAGACGCATGACAAGTAGCGTGCTCAAAGTGTCCTACATTGCCCTAGGACCTGCGCCACGCAGGCAGTAAGCTTTTTTCTGCTGGCTCGGAGCGATCCCCTACACGAACAAAACTGTCTGTTCAGGAACACATCAGCTACTCAATCAGGCGGAACCCACGATACTTATGGCAGCTGCGATAGCAGCCCGGCTTTCCACGGCATTTGCCGCAGCCTTGTGGGAACTGCCGCAGAGCCTCCTCCTTGGAGATGTCCGCGCTGCTGGCAGCGGGCTTCTTCCTGGCATGTACTGCGCTTGGCGCACGCTGGGCGGGCCGCTTCAGAACCTGTTTTGTTCCTGACCGCTTTTCGAGATCTGCAGGCAGCTCCTGTGACGCCAAAAAGTCGGACAGGTGGTCCAGGTCCACCTCTCCCACCCCGGCGCCGGAGTCGCCCCCCTCAGCCTCGTCGGCTGATAGGGGCTGGTGCCGCTGCATTCGGAAGTGGTCTCGGAGACTTTCCAGCACCTGCGCTTCCGATGTGGTGAGGCCCGACGCTGCCTGGCGGAACTTCACTTCATCCGTGAGACGCCGAGCATGGGCGAGCATAGTCAGGCAAGTGTTGGCGCAGTCTGTCGCATGGTCGCTCAGCGACTTCTGCGTCCCCAAGAAATGCCACACGGCCGGGTGCTGCGAGCAGAACTTGATGTACAGGGTGCGCAAGCAAGTGAGCTTGACCTTGCCCGCAGGGATCTGCGCCAGGAACATTCTGAGGATAGGAGACAGCCGGACCAGCTCCGCCCCCATGATGGCCCTCGTGGTCGGGAGGCCCAAGTACGGGCCGAATTGGAGAAGGCTCAGAGGTCCATGCTGGACAGCGTGCTGCGTGAAGGCCTGGATCAGCGCTGTCTGGTCCAGATCCTCCTTCCTCCAGTTCCGGGCGCCTCCACGACCAGCCGCTCGAAGTGATGCCTTCATGGTGCCTCACAGACACGGAGCACTTTCTGAGCCAGGCTTTCACCCTGTGAGCCAAGAGATCCAGAAGGGCGACGAGCACACATGAAGCTCACAAGCGGACTGACATGCCTCGGGGATGCATGTCTGCGTGCATTGAAGTCAAATCTTCCCAATGTGCATCATTTGGGTGCACGTGTTTGGTGATGTTCAAGCACGCTCCTCTAAAGACGCAGTCCTACGCGTGCAGAAGGCATTCGAGGCGCACCAGCGCTTTCTTTTTTTTGGGAGGGGGGGGCGCTTCCACCAGCGTTTTTTTTTTTTGGGGGGGGGCTTCCACCAGCGCGTTGGGGGGCGCTTCCACCAGCGCGTTTTTTTTTGGGAGGCGCTTCCACCAGCGCTTTTCTTGGGGGAGTTAAATGGGGGGCGCTTCCACCAGCGCGTTTTTTTTTTTTGGGGGGGGGGGCGCTTCCACCAGCGCTTTTCTTGAAGGAGTTTAATGGGGGGCGCTTCCACCAAGGGTGATGAAGGAAGCATTTTTCCAAATTCAATCGCTGCAAATCATGACATCTGAACTTCAATCGCCAAAATTGCCCTCCTTTACGAAATTCAATCGCGACAGGGCGGAGTAGTGTTGACAAATTCAATCGCGAAAATGCTAAGGAAAAACGATCGCGGACAGTTTTCCCAAAATTCAATCGCAGATAAAATCCGCACATCGAGATTGAATTTTTTCAATCGCGGATGCTTTGGGCAGACGCACGCACGCACGCACGCACGCAAGCACGCACGCACGCACGCACTCACGCACGCACGCACGCATGCACGCACCCACACACACACACACACACGCGCGCGCGCGCGCGCGTTCACAGGCTCGACAATCCACACGATGAATTGTTGGGTCGGTATGTGAATGTTTGCGTGTGTGCGAGGGTGTGCGCGAATAAGTGCGAATCGCAGCATGCAAAGGTTGCTACAGCGACAGCAACAACAGCATGGTGATGGGGGTGGTGATGGTGAAGGGATTGTGATGGCGATGGTGGTGGCGGCGGCCGATAGCGATGACTATGACTCCCTTATCCTTTTCCCAGCTGCCCGGTGACCCTGGTAGAAAAAGAATTGGAGCCCCTGCTGGGATCGAGCTGTTTGATAATAAGTCCCGAACACACCAAAACAAAAAGGGGCTTATAGACTTACAAAGGGTGGAATCGGCTGAACAATCTATTGGGTCAAATGGTGGTATCCCCAACAGCAAGCCCTAGAACCTTTCTGAAAGCAGCCGGCAGCCACCAAATTGCGCAATGGGCCAAAATGTACCCTCCCACCAATTAACATGGAACGTAACAGGGGGGTCCTGGAAGACAATTCTCCTTCTTAAAGGGACCGCCGGGTCCCGAACGTCAGGTTCCATTGGTGGGAGGGTAACTCAAACTCCGAGATTTCAGTCGGGCGGCCAAGTCCTCCTTGGTGAGCCACACGTCCGGGCGTCGTTTCAGCAGCTCCCGGCCGCAGTCGAAGCACTGGTCGAAGTAGGTCTCCATGAGCTCGCTCATGTCCAGCACCTGACGGCCATTTCGAGGTGTGGAGGCTGGGTTGCGGGGGGGGAGGGGGGGTCCTATTTGTATCATGCTACCAGAAAATGGGGGTTCAAATCCCGTACCCCCAGTGAACATGGTTTCTGCTTGGGGATTTCAAATGGATATCTTTTTCGTGGTACCACTTTTGGGATCGGTTTAAAGTGAAGCCGAAATCAAACCACTCATTTTACGACTTCTTCTATTTTGAGACAAACCCAAATCGGGAACTCCAGCATGCACTGGGGTGCGCTGGGGTGCACTGGAATTCGCTGGTTGAAACGGAGGACTGTTGGGGCACAGGGGTTGACAATGCTTGGTCGAACACAGGCGTTTGGGGTTTACATTATATACTTGTTGGAGCACCATCTGTTTTTTGATTGAAAACAGGTGTGCCTTCTGACCCACCGCTTTTATGGTGGTGTCGTTTGACACCTCAATGCATCTCTCAACAAGATAGGTTCGGAAACTATCAGGCAAGGCCCACTTCGTTTTGGGACCTTTGGCGTTCGCCTGAGTGGGGATAGCTTCAGCGGTTGGCCCAAACTTATGTCTACCATGAGTCTTTTGCAAGCTGAAGGCGAGTTACCTTTGCATCTGCAAAGGACACAGTCACGTGTTATTGTCTCAACCTTAGGCACCCTCCGAATAGCTGGTGCCATGCTGCTTGTTAAAATCATGTCCGAGCAATCCAAGCGGGGGTTCTTTCATGCTCGCCAACGCAGGACGGACATCAACGGCCAATAGGTCACGTAAGGCTATATATATGCTGGGAACATACCCGTCTCTTGAGCAAGACAGGAGCCTTCGAGCCTTCCTCAGCGGCCATAGCTCGCGTCATGCGCTGATTGCTGGAATCGCTCGCTCAAAATTGCAAGGAATCAATTTCACTGATTCGAGTTTCCAGTGTACGCAACCTGGAAAGAACCCTCTGGTTCTCCACAATAGTAAGCCTTCCCACCTGGACTCACAAAAACTTGCCGTGCGATGGCGCCTTGGGCCGTTCCGCCGCAAGCAGGGGCTCCGAGCCGCGCAAGCGCGACGGCCAGAAATCGCAGCAGAAGTCCTGGCCAGAGGCATCCGCAAACCCAGGGAGTCGTTTTGAAAGACGCGCGATGTGCTTGCTCAACGGTTCTTTGTTTCTTCAAGGTCGTGCCTTGGCAGAAAGCGGACCTCTTCCGAACTTCGTTTTGGTGATTGCGAAGCAGGTCTTTGTCGACCCCCGGATGAAGCCACCTCCAAAAGCAGCTCATAAGATTTTGCCAGCTCAAATCAAGCTCAACGCTCTGCACCAACATTAGTTGGTTGCTCGAGGAGACTATCCTAAGCGTTGTGTGGCGGACATGTGTGTCTTGCCGTCAGAGCTAGGTGGATTTTAAATAAATAAAGGCACACCTCCAGTGGAGCTTGCTCAGCTCTCGCCTGCATCCAGTCGGGAAAGAGGAGGCACAGTTGACACCAGCACCTCAGCTAGACTACTTGGGAAGAAACTGGGTACCTTAAAGTAAACATCTCCAGAGGTTCTCTAAACCACAAGGTCGGCAATCTGGAGTATAATTTTGAACCCAGATAAAGGACATCCTTGAGAGGTTGTAAAACCCGGGCTCAGATGGCGAGCCCAGTTCGACTTGCGCCTTCTAAACCATGACAAAAAGGGTCCAGTGGCAGCCAGGATCAAGTCCTCACCACCCAAAGTCAACGCAAACTTGCAAATGCCCTTGACATTATTTGTGTGTTGGGGTCATGGTTTAGGACTACTGCCTACCTCAACGTCAGCCCAACATGCGAGATCCACCCGCAACGGTTTCAAGGGCGATCAAACGAGCGGAGAGGGGTGATTTCCAGGGAACATCAGGAGAGCACTATTTAACAAACACGTTCTGTGGCGCCTGCCAGGCAATCTGCACCTCACCTTGCGAAAGTGCTGTGCCTGCCGATGCAAACTCGTTTTCGCGAAGCGTGCGTGCATCCGTGCCAATGGGCTTGGCGCGAGGAAGCCTACATGCCAATTAGATGGTAATGAGAAAAGCAGACCAGTAAAATGAAACCGACACGAGTCAAACCACAGGATTGAAACGATGCCACACCTTGGTGTCGACCCCCTTGAGCAGTCCTACTCTGCATGGAAAAGATCCTGCAGCAGTTGGTAGGTGGTTTTCCCCAGAATGCAATCGGCTCATCCATTCTACGTGAATCCACGTGATGCTGGAATTTCTCCATTCACCAATCCTTTTGGGTGAATTGGAATAGTTCAGCAAGCTGAAATCAGCAGGAGCCTCGAGAAAGGCACCTTCGTACCCTTGGTGAGGTCGGCAAGCGACTCATTCAGAAGTTTTACCACCGGCCTGATGGATTGCCTCCAAGGCGCAGCGTGATCGGGGTCCCGAAAAGCACACAGAGGGCGACGGGCAGCAACAAACCTGCCAGATGGCTGATCCCTTTCAAAGCATGCTAGGGTCCTGTATCGCAAACATGTGAAGGAGCCGGTTTGAGCATGAGTTTGGCCCTCGAGGTGAAATTATGGGAACCTTTTGGCTATTTCCAATCTTGCCCGACCACAAGACTCCGGGAGCAAATCAACTCTTTCTTGGGGGATCCCCCAAAATGCATTTCCCCTTCCAGGCAAAATTGAAAGGTTTTTTTGTGGGTCATCTTTCTTTTGGCGTTTTGGGCGTCCGAATGGGAACAAAATCCTCCGCCGAGCCGCTGAATCGGAGCAGTCCCGCCAGCACTGCCAGCAGCAGCGCCACCCCCGACAGCGCCAGGGCAGCGTCCAGCAGAGTGGCGTCGCGGCCCGAGCCCCGCGCCTGCGAGGGCTTCAAGACGGGCGCTGGGGTCTGTGGCGTAAGTCTCAGGGAGGGTTGGACAAACCTGCATGTCTAGATCCCAAGCTAGAGAAGGTACAATTGCCATTTTTCTGAATGTGTTTAAAGGGTGGTTTGCTTGGGTACTTCTACAGGCAAATTGAACTGCAAGCCAAGCAAAAAGGTGGCGAGTGTAAGGCCACACATTAGAAGCACCCATCTACGCATGTTCCCCAAGGGTGGAAAGGCCCTTAGGTTATCTTAGGTTGGGCCATTGCCTGTTCAAATATGCCTTGAGGGATCGTTTGTTGAAACAGGCTTGTTTAGAACCCGGTACCCAAGTCTTGCTCAAACTATCTTAGCCAAATGCTGAAAACAACTGACGGTGGAAAGCTCAGGCTGGTGGCATCCATGCTTGTGTCTCGAAACTACGAGCCCTTCCGACCCTCATGAAATTCACGTGTATTACTTGGAACCATCTGCAAAAGGAGCTAATCATAGCAACTAAAGCAACGGAATGGACCCCTGGGCGACCTAAGAACCATTAGGGTTCAGGACCTTGCCATGCCTCCTTTTGATTTGGGTCTGAATCAGAGCTTGAATTTGTTCGGGGTATTCTCCTGTCGCAAGAAAAGAGAAGACTGGACATGAGCCACGACAGTATACATTCTGTCTCAAATTTGAATGAACCCCTGCTATTTGTGAGGAAAACTTGAGTTGGGGCCAAAATACCCTCCCTGTTACAACTGAAGGTAATTGTGAATAGTTACAAGTGTTATTGTAGAGATTATGCGGGCAGCCTGACAAGGGGTTGAACAAACAGCTGTGTTCGAACACGTCCATGTTTTGGGAAATGAAAATGGAAATTGGCATAAAACCAAAAACCATGGGTCAGTGCCTTGATTTGACACGTGCAAAAAAATCGGTTCCAGCTAGTTCCAACACATTGGCAGCTAGGGAGCCCCGTCCGTGAACACATGGCGATGTTGAGCCACAAGTGGCTGGCTGCCCATGAGTGATTGATCTTTGATGCTGCGCCTGCTTTGTAGCCGCACGCTGGACTGACTTGGGGGAAGCCTTCTTCAACCAGACGGGAAAGGCCGGCCATGACCCCGGCCTAGACATGCAAAGGTCACAGGGCCCCTCGTTCTTTGCGTGGACAGATTGATCCGAAAAAAGTGCACGCAAACATGCCGCTATGACATGCAGCCATCACGTCAAGACATCGTGGGTGCCTTGGTTCCGCCCCGACTCGTTAGTGGCATAGAGCGTAATACGCACTGACCAACTGCATGTTTTCTTTTTGGGGTCGAAGGCGAAACAAGTAAACCCCTGAGCCACAGAACTCCAGTCGAAATTCCAAAGTCGCAAGGCAAACCGGGACTCCAGGGCCAAGCAACTACGAACGATACGTACGATGCATGTGGGGCATACAGACATGGTACAGGGAAAGCGTCAAACTGGCGGGTGCTTGGACACCGGTCATTTGCTCATGTGCTTGTTTTCTTGTCCCAAACAGCCAGCCAGAGTAACGCAAGAGCTTTTGGCACCAAAACATCCGGTTGGGAGTACTCAAGTCATCCCCAGAATTCAGTGAGAAAAAGGCCCACCCTTTTTGCTGATCCATTTCAAAAGCAACTCCCCACACAAAAAGAAAAACAATGGAGTTTCTTTCCCACCAGTCGACGACCCCTTCCCTGTAGGAATGAGTTGGAATGACCCCCATCAACATCCAACTGGCAGTTTGCCAGGGGATGCCCTTCCATTTCAAAAACCTTTCTTGTGCCCTGAGCACCGGCAAAAAGTAGGGGTCCCCTGCTTGGTGTCCTTTTGGTTTTACCTTTCACTGCGAAGGGGGTCCATCAGTTTGAGAGCCTCCCATCTTGATTCCCCGCGAACCGCGCCACGGCGGGCAGCAGCAGGATGAGGCCCAGCATCGCCAGACCCACAAGCTGCTGGGAGCTGGTGATGTAGTCGTGGATCCTGTGCATCATGATCTTCGTGTTGGGCTTGGCACAAGAAACCCAAAGGAAAACCGAAATCATTCTTTTGGGAGTACCCCAGTTTGACACATACCTTGTGCCATGGTCTGATACCTCTCGCGTTCGCATCATCCAAAGGAGGGCGCCCTGTAGCCAAAGAATCAGCTGGCCTAGGCAGTCAGCCCCAGACTCTATGCAATGAACCCTGGCAGGCAACGCATCATTGCTGATAGTGGTTGTCTAGTACCCTAAGGGGTCCAACGCCGCAACCCAAAGACCAGGGGTGTTTCGACCATGGCTCATATGGGCGTGTCTGTCATATGGAAACCACCCCAAATCGTTTCCCTTTGGGTTGCCTGTTGAAACAAACCCTAGAAAGGGTATCCTGACCAAAAACACACACCCATACCACAAAAACCCAATAGTGACTTCGAAGGTCGATTCGGGGCAATTAAGCACCATTAAGGGTTGGAGAGGAGTGGACTGGAGTGGAGTGGATCCCACGCGTTTCGCCACCGAAGGTAGGTACCCCCTAGACACCAGGGGCACCCAAAACCATGAAAAAGGAAGGTGTTTTTCAAAAAACCAGGTTTTTTGCAGCTTTGCTGTAAAAAACCAGGTTTTTTCTTGTGTTTGTAAAAAACCGGTTTTTTGGCTATTCGTGCTGCGCTACTTACATTTTTAAGGTGGGCTGTACTGGTGTTGTGAGTGCGGCTGTTCAAACTCATGTCCTTGTTGCATTTGTGGCGTGATTAATCGCAGGCGCATATCTATTGTGGCGGTTGGTATCTTGAATAATCAGAATATTCCTAGTAGTAGGAACACCAGACTGACTATTTGAAGAGGGCATAGGGATGCGCAGCTTGTTTCTACAATTTAGCAAAAGGCTAAACCTGCGGCGCGTGTATTCAATGCAATATAAACCGTCCTCTTGCTGCAAAACGTGGCTTGACTTGGCAAAGCCCCAGCTCGGCCTGGAAAGGGCACTCTTCTTTGCTTCAGTGTGCATCCTTAAGACACAGCACATTTGCGACTTGTTGCTCCAGTGCAGACATGGACATAGGACTGTGCTTCCCAAAAAAAAGAGTTGGCACGTTTGACCCAGTAATGCTGCAGAAAAGGGATAGAAGCACGATTTCCAGGATGCTTTCGGATTCAAAGCCTTTGAAACACAAGACACACATTTTGGACAAAAGGATATAGCTTAGATGGCCACTGTTTGCAGGTCGATTTCAAGTTGTTGTGAGGCTTCAGCTGGGAGCGAGCCTGCTTGGTTGCTATATTAGCCAATGCCAAAGACTACCAGTCCAACTAGTGAACCTCAAAAGGGCTAGGTTCATGCGAGCTAGACGCTGTTCAGTTCTGTTCTTCGCAAAGTCAAAGTCCATTCAACAAACGCTTGCTTCTGACCCAGCGAGACTTTTTGGGTCCGGGATGGCAACGGCACGCTGCGTGTTTCTACAGAAAAGGTCCTGGTTGCTTACACATTCCAAGCCTAGACGCAACTAGTTGTTCAATTCATGCCACCTCTTGCTTGTCACACAGGCAGTGCTTTTCAATGTGTCTCAGTTGGTTGATATTGAATCAGCGAGGCCCCAGCTCTGAAATAGAAATGAAGCCATGCTTTCTTCAGCTGCCGTAGGAAAATGCCACAAGAAGATCATGTTCAAAGGCCGCCTCACTTTGTTGGGAGTGCGCGCAGCAACTCTGTTTGTTTTTGTTCTGATAATTAGGTGGTTGTTTAGCGGCCCTTGCTAGAAGGAGGCGCGGCATTTACATAATAGACGTTAATTACATGTTCCTTCCACATGTTGCTACAAACCCCAGGGTCCTGCCCAACTCTTTGAATAACAAACTGCGCAAATATATGTTAATCTGTTTACGAAACCACGGCCCTTGAATACGACATCTCCCTGGAGAAAGCGCAGCAATAGAACTGTATTGCGCAGTGCCGAGACGCAGCCGCACGTTCCATATTCCAGAAGGGTAGGGGCCGCGCTTGCAGAAGAGAGTATGTATAGATTGTTTGCAATGTCCTGCCACTGAGGTTTGCTGACTAGTGTTGGGTCTTGATTAGTAATGAGCGACGCTATTCAGGTCCACAATGGTCCACTTACTTTCTGAATAGCGTTGAATTCGTTTCCTTTGGTTCAGTGGGCCAGAATAGCGTCCACCGTTTTTCCCGAGTGGGTGGAAAACCATAAAACACTAGTTTAAAAATTATAACTTCGAAAAACAACAGCCACCCCAAAACCAGGTTGTACCATACAAAATTATGCTTGCGCTTGCAAAAAGCATCAAACAATGGCCCTTGAAGGCTGCAGTTCCTGTTCCCTACCAAAATCAGCTTCAACTGCTCCAAATCTAGCTTCTGGAAACTGCACTTCCCTGCCAAAATCGGCTTCAACTGCTTCAAATCTGGCTCCTGGAGGCTGCAGTTTCCTATCTCAGAAACATCACCAGCTCTGGGAATGCAAATTACTTGCTAAACCTTGCTGAACAAATACAAAAAACAATCAGGGCAAGGGTGCCCCACACAACTCCCCGAAGAAGGGCCATTGTTCAGGTGGACAAGAATAGTGCCCTGCCCAAAGCCCCCAACATTGCGCATTGCTTTTGCTTTCAAAGCAGCCTCTTTTTTATTGGCCCAGGTACAGAATCCACCAACTGTGACCCCTGAAGCCTCAGAAACATCCCCAACTCTGAGAATGCAAATTCTTTACTACACCTTGTTGAAAATATGCAAAACAACAATCGTGGCAAGCGTATCTACCCCACACAATGCCCCAAAACCAGAATAAGGGCCATTGTTTAGGTGGACAAGAATAGTGGCCAGCCCCTAGCCCCCAACTTTTTCAAGCAGCCCCCTTTCATTGGCCCACTAAACTTGTCAGTCGCAGAGTTGAACACCAACTGTGACCCCTGAAATCTCAGAAACACCGCCAGCTCTGCGAATGCAAGCCCTGTACTACACCTTGCTTCAAAAATGCAAAGAAGCAATCAGGGCAAGGTGTCCCACACAACCCCCCAAAACCAGAATAAGAGCCATTGTTTAAGTGGACAAGAATAGAAGTGGACAAGAATAGTGCCCTGCCCAAAGCCCCCAACCTTGCGCATTCCTTTTGCTTTTCATTTTCAAGCAGCCCCTTTTTATTGGCCGATTAAACTTTGTCAGTCACAGAATCCAACACCAACTGTGGCCGCTGAAGTCTCAGAAGCATCCCCAGCTCTGAGAATGCAAACTTTACGCCTTGTTTAAAAAATGCAAAAACAAAAACACAACGCGAGGGTATCCCACACAAATCCCCAAACCAGAGTCAGGGCCATTGTTTAGACTGGAATAGTGCCCTGCCCCCAGCCCCCCATCCCAACTTTGTCCATTGCTTTTACTTTTAAAACAACCTTTTTTGCCCACTTAAACTTAGATGGAAGCTCAAATCAAGTTCAAAGGAAGCTCCAGCAAAAAAAACAAATGGAAACTCACATGCAACAATACTGAATCATCTACATGGAAGCACACATCAAACTCAAATCAAAGCTCCAGCAATACTACATCAAATGGAAACTCAAATCCAGCAACACTACTAAATCAACCAGCTGGAAGCTCAAACTAAATTAAACAAGAAGCTCCAGCAGTACTAAACCAAGTGGAAACTCAAATCTAATAATGCTGAATCAAATAGATGGATACTCAAGTCCAATTCGAAGGAATTTGCAGCAACACTCGATCGGTTGGAAACTCAAATCCAGCAATACTAAATAAAACACATGCAAGCTCAGATCAGATTCCAAAGGAAGCTCCAGCAATACTGAATCAAATGAAAACTCAAATCCAACAACACTGAATCAAAGATATGAAATTCCAACTCAAAAGGAAGCTCCATCAATATTGAGTCAAATGGAAGCTCAAATCCAACAATACTAAATCAAATAAATGGCAGCTCAAATCAAATTCGAAAGAAAGCTCCAGCAATACTAAATGAAATGGACCCTCAAATCCAGCAACACCAAATCAATCAAATGGAAGCTCAAACTATATTCAAAAAGAAGCCCAAACATCAATGAAATGGAAGCTCAAATCAAACTTAAAAGTGGTTGCTAGACTAAAGTAGTATTGAGCCCCGGGTCCTCCAGTTTGGATGTCCATTGTTTGCCGCTATTCTAGCGCCGATTGTTTAGGGGGAGGGGTTTCAATTATTCTTACATGGTTTGGTGGATTTTGTGACCAAGGCTCAAAAACCAGGTTTTATGGCCGTAAAAGCACGTCAAACAACCCGTAAAAAAGCGTACCCGTAAAAAGCCCGTAAAAATGCGTAAAAAACCCGTAAAAAGCCGTAGGAAAATACGCAAATTTCCGTAAAAAACCCGAAGACAGCAGTACTTGAGAGCAAGGCCATTTCAAGTTGTTTCAGCTGGCTTGGAGGAATATAGAGTAGAAGAGCGCAGAACCTTCATCCTTGTTTGCCATGTTCAGCCAGACGGAGCTGAGCGTACTACAGTTGGAATGCTTTTGGGCTTCTTTGTGAAGTTGATGCGTCATTGATCAAGTATGTGTGTTGTTTGCGTCCGCGCTGCAAGCGGGTCCAACTTGGACTCCTTGCTTGTCGGCAAAACTTGACGGGGCTGTGTTGGAAGCAAGCAAATGGTTTCGAATAAGTGGACCGCAAGAAACATGGGCTTTATGACTCCAAGCTGGCAAGCTAGCAGTGCCTTTTTTCCAGACTGAAGCGACATCGAACTGAAACGTTCGTACGCAATTCCTACATAATAAACATGTGGGACAAGCGCTACAGCCCTACTCGGGCAATTCACAGGCAACGCACGGCCTTGGCAGAAAAAGAGCAGACGCAACAGCACGAACAGCGATTACAGGAGCCTGTTACTTGCACACTGGCAGATGCATCACGCTGACTCAATTGCAGCAGTGGTCGTATCTGAGCTGGCACAGCCCAAGTAGAGCATGTAATATAGGTTTTGAAAATCTGATGAACCATGCTCGAGCAATCGGCGAGCGAATCGTCCTTGCGCCATACCTTAAGAAGCCTACTGCAGCAATGCGTGAAGTCAGCAATGGCTTGTGAGACACTCTCGGCGGGTAACGGAGCATTGGTGAGCAAGTGGTGGCTATATCGCAGAAGCTTCAAAATAGGCGCTGTTGGAAGACCATCTGTCATAATGTTGGGACTTGATTAATAAAGGGCCTTCCCTGAACAATGGGTGCGCCAGAGTAGTGGCACAAAAAGACATGCAAGCAATGGAGGAACCGGGGCTCAATACAACAGTTACTTTAGTCTAGCAACCACTTTAAGTTTGATCTGAGCTTCTTTTTTTGATGTCGTACTGCTGGAGCTTGAATTTAGTTTGAGCTTCTTTTAGTGTTACTGGATTTGAGTTTCCATTTGATGTAGCATTGCTGGAGCTTCCTGTCGAATTTGATCTGAGCTGCCATTTAGTTGATTTAGTATTGTTGAATTTGAGTTTCCATTTCATGCAATATTGCTGGAGCTTCCTGTTGAATTTGATTTGCGGTTCCATATCTTTGATTTAGTGTTGCTGGAATTGAGTTTCCATTTGATTTAGTTATGCTGGGGCTTCAATTGAATTTGTGTTGCGCTCCCATTTCTTTGATTTAGTATTGCTGGATTTGAGCTTCCGTTTGATGTACTATTGCTGATTTGAGCTTCCGGTTGTTTGATTTAGTATTGCTGGATTTCGGTGTCTATTTGATTGAGCATTGCTGGAGCTTCCTTGTGAGTTTGATTTGAGCTTCCATTTGTTTGATTTAGTATTGCTGGATGTCAGTGTCCAATTGATTGAGTATTGCTGGAGTTTCCGTTTGAAATTGATCTGAGCTTCCAATTAGTGGGCTCAATATTGTTGTATGTGAGTTTCCATTTGTAGTAGTATTCCCGGAGCTTTCTTTTGAATTCTATTTAAGCTTCCATGTATTTGACTTAGTGTTGTTGGAATTGAGTTGCCATTTACCTTATTATTGCTGGAGCTGCCTATTGAAGCTGATTCGAGTTTCAATCGATTTTCTATTTAGTATTGTTGGGGTTGAGTTTCCATTTGATGTAGTATTGCTGGAGCTTTGATTGGAATTTGATTCGAGCTTCCATTTCTTTCATTTAGTGTTGTTGGATTCGGGGTTCCATTTGACTTAGTAGACTAAAGCTTCCTTTTTTGACTTGAGCTTCCATCTGTTTGATCTAGTATTGTTGGATTTGAGTCGCCAAAACTTAGTAGGCCAATGAAAGAGTGCTGCTGTAAGAGTACAAGCGCTGGACATTGGGGACGCGGGGCTGGGGGCAGGGCACTATTCTTGTCCACTCAAACAATTGCCCTTATTCTGGTTTTGGGGAACTGTGTGGGGTAGGTACGCTTACCACGATTGTTGTGTTGCATGTTTTGAACAAGGTGTAGGAAAGAATTTGCACTCCCAGAGTTGGGGATGTTTGTGAGGCTTGAGGGGTCACAGTTGGTGTTGGATTCTGTGACTGACAAAGTTTAGTGGGCCAATAAAAATGGCTGCTTTAACAGCAAAAGCAATGCGCAATGTTGGTGGCTGGGGGCAGGGCACTATTCTTGTCCACCATCTTCACAATCCTAAACAATGGCCCTTCTTTCGGTTTTTGCAAATTGTGTGGGGTAGGTACGCTTGCCATGATTGTTGTTTTGCATGCATATTTTAAACAAGGTGTAGCAAAGAATTTGCATTCTGAGAGCTGGGGATGCTTCTGAGGTTTCAGAGGTCACAGATTCTGTGACTGACAATTTCGTACTGGGCTAACAAAAGCTTTTAAAGTAAAAGCAATGCACAAAGTTAAAACTCTGGGCAGGGCACTGCCGCACCATTCTTGTCCACCTAAACAATCCTAAGCAATGGCCCTTATTCTGGTTTTGTGGAGTTGCGTGGGGCACCTTGCCCTGATTGTTGTTTTGCATTGTTTAAGCAAGGTTTAGCAAAGAATTTGCCTTTTCAGAGCTGGGGATGTTTCTGAGATAGGAAACTGCAGCCTTCAGGAGCCAGATTTGAAGCAGCCGATGCTGAGTTTGGTGGGGAACTGCAGCCTTAAAGGGCCACTGTTTGATGCAATTTGACAAGCGCAAGCGCAAGTTGGTATGACCCAAACCTGGTTTTGAGGCGGTTACTTGTTTTTTGGAATTAAATGTTGAAAGAAATCTTAATCGTGTTTTCCACACAAAAACACACGGGAAAAGCAGAGGACGCTATTCTGTTCCACTAAAGCAATGGGTGGGAATCAGAATGAGAAAAATGCGAACGCTATTCAAGTCCACAGTGCTAATCAAGACCCAACATCATCCTACGTGTGAAGGTATCAGCCCAACTGCCACATTCCAGTCTGCTTGAGTGTAATAGCGGGTTCCTGGCAACATCTTGCAATTATACGACCTGATTCGCACGCAAGACTGCAGGGGTTGCCAGCATGAACTTAACAAAGCTGATACTGTTTCCACTGATGAGACTAGCTTGCAGTTGTGACGCTTTCCATATTTTGCATGGGGTTTGGCACACGCAGGATTTCTTGTTGGCTCCACCTTGCTCGCGCGTTTAGAGATATGACAGTCTGCCAAGGGGACCCTTCGACTCTAAATCGCTTCGCGGGCAGTAGTGCCAGTGCCAAATGACTTGTGTAGGTAGGTTGAGCAGGCTTGCCGAATCTCAACAAGTTTGGCGGGCGATGCGGGATTAAGCTTGCTTAGTGTCGCAGGTTAAAAAGTTATAAGCTGTTGCATCAACATATCATTGCTATTGCGGCAGGCAGTTTGTCAATGTGGATTAAGATGTCTGGTGTTTGAATGTTTTCCCGCGCAGTGCAACTAAAATTGCTTGAGGCGCCTAGCAATCTGGTCTCGAGGTGGTGTCATAAGCAGTTTAGCGTTTAGCGTCCCCTGGGCCCGTGCAAAAACCTGTTTTTTGGTTAAAAACCTGGTTTTTGCAGAATCTCAAAAACAACCCATGTTTTTCATGGTTGCGAGGGCCACAGGCACTGGGCCTGCTATGACACGTGGCGGATGTATGCGTACAACCAGAAAGAAACGTGGCCCCTTACCTTTTGGTTTGACAAAGCGACGCATTCGGGCGGGAGAATCCCAGCAACCACTGGCCATGCAACACTACACCATAAACAATATAGGTATGTGGCAAAATAGGTGCTTTCCTTTTTGGTTCCCTTAAACTAGCCCCAAAAAGGGTACCCTCGAAGAAACCACAGCCCCATTTTTCAGGGGCCCGCTGATTGGAGAGCAGCCCAGTCGACCTAAAGTGGACAGACATCCAGCCCCCTTTGAGCTGGCCACATCGCCTACTGCCCACCCTCCCAAAACCGCGAATCCACCAGACCCCCAAATCGTCCCCCTTCCCGAATATACCCATCCCCCACCCAAGCCAAACCAGGAAACCTGAAAAGACGGAATCCACCAAGCTCGTCGCCAAAAAAGCAAATAATCATTTTTGGAACAAAAAGGGAACGAGGGGTGCATAGAACAACTAGGAAATACTGGGAATGGTGGAAAGCCGCATTCCCCTTCATTTTCGCGATTTCAACAGTTGTAAAGTCGGGGAGAATACCCCGAATCCACAAATCCCCCGCCCAAACCGGTCAAGAGGGAGAACATGGAGCCCAACAAGAGCACCACCAGCGCCGCCAGCGTCATCACCAGGGCGGCTGCGAAGAAGATCGTGGCCAGCAAGTAGCCCACCATTCGGCCCACCGCCTCTGTCCTTGCGACGAAAACGCATTCCCTAAGCATCGTTGGAGAAGGTAGAAAGTATTGGACCTCAGATTCTTGGGTGAAAACAAAAAGCAGGCAAAACCAGGCAAAAAGGTCAAGAACCGGAGCACAAGCAGATAGCAAGAAAACATCAGGCAGGCAGTAAACGTAACTTCCGTTTGGTAAGAGGTTGCAAGATAAAATGCTTGGTCCATGATTTCACCTTGAGTTCCATGGCGTCGCAAAGATCGATGCTCTTGTTTCTTGAGATGTTTTTTTTGTGGGAAACAACAGCGGGCAACATCATCATACCCTTCAACATGTATATTGGGGGGGCGGGCGGTGTTGGACTGTTCCGGACTATGCGACAAGAAAGGAAGCACACAGTCAAGCTCTTTCGCAAGGACAGGTATAGATTGTGTGGCAGGCGCATCACTTTTGCAAGGACAAGTGGCAGATTTCGTGGCAGGCGCAGCACTTTCGCAAGGTCAGGTACTGATCTTGTGGCAGGTAGATGAATAGATAGATCGATCGATAGATAGGTGTAAAGAGAGAACAATAGATAGATAGATAGATAGATAGATAGATAGATAGATAGATAGATAGATAGATAGATAGATAGATAGATAGATAGATTAGATTAGATAGATAGATAGATAGATGGATGGATGGATGGATGGATGGATAGATAGATAGATAGACAGATAGATTAGATAGATAGATAGATAGATAGATAGATAGATAGATAGATAGATTAGATTAGATTAGATTAGATTAGATTAGATTAGATTAGATTAGATTAGATTAGATTAGATAGATAGATAGATAGATTAGCTCAGCTTAGATTAGATTAGATTAGATTAGATTAGATTAGATTAGATAGATAGATAGATGGATGGATGGATGGATAGATAGATAGATAGATAGACAGATAGATTAGATAGATAGATAGATAGATAGATAGATAGATAGATTAGATTAGATTCGATTAGATTAGATTAGATTAGATTAGATTAGATAGATAGATAGATAGATAGATTAGCTTAGATTAGATTAGCTTAGATTAGATTAGATTAGATTAGATAGATAGATAGATAGATAGATAGACTAGAAAGATAGATAGATAGATAGATAGATAGATAGATATATGGATAGATAGATAGATAGATAGATAGATAGATAGATAGATAGATAGATACATAGATAGATAGATAGATAGATAGATAGATAGATAGATAGATTAGATAGATAGATAGATACATAGATAGATAGATAGATAGATAGATAGATATATAGATATATAGATATATAGATAGATAGATAGATAGATAGATAGATAGATAGATAGATAGATAGATAGATAAATAGATAGATAGATAGATAGATAGATAGATAGATAGACGGATGAATAGATAGATGGATGAATAGATAGATAGCTAGCTAGCTAGCTAGATAGATAGATAGATACATATATATATAGATTAGATAGATAGATAGATAGATAGATAGATAGATAGATAGATAGATAGATCGATCGATGGAATTAGATTAGATTAGATTAGATTAGATTACATTAGATTAGATAAATCGATATATATATATATATATATAAAGATAGAGACAATCACTATGTATGTATGTATATATACATATATATTCGGGCGGAGGGGGCAGCAAGGCTATTTTCCTTAGAAGGGAGTTGCCAATTGATGGTGGATTGCAAGGTGGGTCGTCTATGATTCCATGACGGCCTGTGGAAAATACCTGGTTACCTATAGTTACTCTAGTGGTAGCTTGAGGCACTAGGATCAAAGTCCAAAGCCGAGCCAAGCTCTCGTGGATAACTTTCAGAACGGCCATGACCAGAAGTGAAACGCTGGTTGCAAAGAAACCCAGTTGATGTTCCCTACATGGGGTCTCTCAAGCTAGGGGTCCCTAAAAATGGTTGGCTTCCGTTCGGTGTCCCTGGGTTAATATGCAAGATACAACAACTTACAGACTTCTGCGTGATTTTGCCACTGGACCGTTACCAATGGGTCAAGTGCAATTTGCTTAGGTGTTGCCAATTTTAGAAAGAAGCATCTGCGCCGTTTAGCAACTGTAAGGGCACCTAAGTCCACAATGCTTGCCTGCGAAGGTGCTTTCATGGCCCAGATAAACAGCAACATTGCACAACCTCGTCGTGCTTAGAAGTATGACCAAGCACCTTCTAAACAGTGTCTACGCCATATGCTGGCAGCGTTCGTCCCTTCAGAGCCTGTGCCAGCATAACTTCTGGCTTTAGGAAAATTGGACTTTTCTCTGATTTCCTTCCAAGGTAAGGTTGGCCATCTGAGAGGTTGAGTACCTACAACGGCCCCCTTCCCTTTGCCAACTGTTTCTTGGCCTACACCGGCCCCCTTTCCATTACCAGAATGCGTGTGACCGCCGGACTGGCAGATTCTGAAGAACAAAAGGGAAGGTTGCTTTAATGGAATTGGCTAAGGAAGAATCCGAAGTGACAGAGGGTTGTCCTTAACTGCGGGTGCAAATATCCTCGTTATGGTCAACGCCTGTAGCATTAAGACCTTGGCCGACAGGTGCAGATTCAAGATTAAAGGGGCTTCTTGATGACTGAAGCATGTTGGCAGGGTGTTCGCGTACAACTTCTCAAGCACGTTTTGCGCACCCTGATGTGTGCCTGCTGGTGCTATTCTTGCCAGGCTTGGTCTTTCACGTAGCAACTTTTGAGTGAGCAACAGGTGCAAGAAGGCAAGCTAATGTGCCTGACACGGTTTTGGCAATTCTCCGTGCAAAGGCAAACCAAGTACTACAAGGAAGCTTATTTGACAATGTGTCCAAATAGAAAGCAATAGCGTCCAGCTTCACGGGAGGCCGGCTGTTGATCGAAAAGCACACAGGGAAGCTTTTCGGACTTATAACCAACAAAGCAAAAGGTTAAAGCCATGACCTCCCTCAAGCTTAATGTCTTGTCCAAGCAGAGCAAGATGAGCGCGCGCTGCAGGCGATCGCATTGTGTACAAAAGCACCGAGTTGTTGCGCCTGTAATTGCACACATGGCCTGACTACCAACCAAAAGATCCACCAGTTTGAGAAACTCCCAAATGAACCACAACCGACACTGATACAGTTCGGAGAAGGTTGGCGAGTTGCCCCATGTCTTGACGTCTTGGTTTGATCCCATGTCACCCAACCATACCCTCTGGAATCCTTATTGGTTGGGGAGGCTCTTCAATTTCTGGAAAAGCGGCCATCTCCAAGTTTAGCCAAACTGCGGAAACCGAGGGATCTCCTGTGTCATTGGTGGGTGGGTGGGTAGAGCATCCCAACCCCTATAACATACAATACCACTACCTCCCTGATTTCTACCATCGAACAATCAACCACCACATCCTACAATATATATATATATACCATATATATATATATATATACATATAATATTCGCCATCACTACCTTTAGCCGTGCACTTACCATCTCCTTGAAATGGATATTAATTCATCATACAGATCTTGATGAGCTTCACCATATCTAACAAATTACCACAATCATAACAATCCATATTATAGGGATGCGCTGTGCCAATCACTGTTTGCTTCAGAGGGCTGGCAGTTCCGCCCAACACATACATGCGCCATGGGCCAAGTTCCGCCCAAATGGGGTGTGGAAAAGAAGGAAACTGGCAAGGACGAGGACTGTTCATCCCAAGTTCACAAGTCCTCGAATTGCAACACATCCCAATGTCCTAGACCTCTATCAGAATAGGCATGGATGTGTGGCCGGTGGCGGCAAGGACATGCTATATCAGACACTACTCGAATCCATGCACCAAGATCACCGGATGGGGGACCTCTCCCAGGTACGTTCTAGAAGTGCCCGAATATTGAGAAGGGTGTGTGTGTGTGTTTACTCACAGTAAATACTGCTTTGCATTGCCGTCGTTCAAAAAGGAGGTTGACGGTTGAAGAACCTCAGGTCGGCATGTGTCAAAATAGGGGAACCAATGGCCGTCCCTTTCAGGGAGAAAGAAAATAGATAGAGGCGTTGCCAGCTCCTAAGCAACCACCCCCGCCCCCGCCCTGGGAGGAAACTGATGCGGGTTGCCTTCCACACAGTATTTGCAAAGGGACATGTTTGGAATCGGAAGAATCACATATATATATATATTAGGGATTACGGCCCCCTTGCATAGTCTTTACTTGGTTTCCTCTCTTTACAGTGCTTTAGTCATTTGTGCATCTCCACGCTCCGAAAAGGGCTTGTGACATATAGGAAAGATGAACACTGGAATTCAGTTTAAGGCCGCCCACTGACGACATATGGAATACTTGAATCGAGTCTCAGCCTGTGAGTTGGCTCCAAAGACGCTGAAGAGGCTTCTGGGCGCCTCCCCAAACTTATGCGGGATCCCGTATGATTGGTTTCCTTTCGGTTTCCCTTTAACAGAAAGACACCAAGACATGTTTTGTTAGCCAATTCTAGGCTGTTAGTCAGCCGAGCTGCATAATGCTGGAGCACTGGGCACACATCACGGTACTGAAGTTTCCCATGGGGACAGTCTTTGGTCCCGCGCACAACCGCGCAAAACGCGCGGTTGAAGGGCTATGAGTCTGTGAGTGCGGAAAGGGTGGAATTTGACGCAAATTGCACTAAGTTGGTCTTCATCCCTTAAACACTATGCCCTGCGGAATTAAGAAGTATCCAAGAGATGCAAGGCACTAAGGATCCAAAGACCATTCTGTGATAAGGCATCTTCAGGGAAAAGCACCTTCATGGGAGCGCTGCTGGAGCATTTGTGCAGCTAAAAGTCCTCGTTCTAGGCGATTCAAAGCACGAACCAAACACACGCACACACACACATGGCCAGTAGTGGGCAAGGAGGACATTGGACATACTTAGGTGTGCTTGGGTGGCACTGAACAAAACATACCAAACTAGAACCAGCGCCATCTACTTTCGATCAAACTGACCTAAAGGGGCACCCACGCTCTTATGCTCTCATGGCGGATTGCGCGCCGGCTATTCAGCCTTCAACATCCATGCCCCAGCCGTTGCGACTTCAACTGATATCCTGAGCCAGGACGGCGGCATGCATTCAAAGGACGTGTCGTCGTCTGCGGGGTCTGCGTCACAGAATGGGGGGGGGACATCCTCGAAAACCGCTGAGGGAAATTGAAAACCTGATGGCGGGGAACTTCCGCAATTTCAGACATGGGCTTGTGGGGCCTGTGTGTGCTCCATTCAAGTTGGCGGCGCGAAACAACATCTTCAAGGTTGATTCTCTCCTCAAGTGACGTGGTGAGCTTGGCGCCCTCAAGACGCGGCATCTTTGTTTTCTGAACCTCAACCACAAGTTGCGCGCAAGGGCTCTATCTGAACAAGTTGACTACCAAGCAGTGAACCTGAATTGAAGAATTCTCAACTTCATCATAGATGAGGTCACACACTCTTTTCGAGGTCGCTGGCGTAACCTGACTTTCACGACAAGTTTAGAGACATGGTGCGAATAAGCAGTCACTCAAACGGACAGTTTCGTGTATCCCTCACATCCCTCCAATGGAGCAGTCTTTTTTGGCGGTTCGCGGCTTACACACTGCCGCGGAGCCATACTGGGGGCTTTGCGGGGCCAGAATTTGTGAAATCCTGGAAGGGTTGCCTTTGCGATGCTTATCAGTCCAATGACTTTTAGCTAGCCTTCGCGAAGTGGCCTCGCCTGTGTCAAACCACACAACCTGAACCTGTGCGAGAAGCTTCGCAAGCAAATGCATCACACAAGCAACTTCGCGGACCTTTTGGGAGTTCCCTTGCGAGGCTGAAATCCTTCATCTGAAAAACAATTCTCAATTGATCATAGACTAACAAGCATTTGACGGAATCTCACAATATAGGTCCGTGTTGCTTTCGTTGGGTGAAAGAACAACTACTCTTTTGCCTTGGGGGGATTGCCGTATTTTTGACACATACCCATGTCCCTTTTTGGCGCGGCCCCATTGGCTGGGCTCCCGTTTTGCCTGCGAGCTCTCACGGCGCCATTCAGCGGCACTGTCCAGTGACTCGAGTGTCTACTTGGTCGCCCATGTATCTTCCATTTGATTAGGCCCCCTGAAAAAACAAAACTCATATTTCTACTAGTGTTAGATTCCCTTTAAAACCAGCAAGGAAAAATAAAAATACTACATAATAATAATACTAATAATAATAATAATAATAATAATAAAATATATTCTTCAGCAAATGGAAGTTGTAGAAGGACACCTTTCTGTGAGTGGAACCAATGAAGGGGTTAATGATGCCCTTTCAGCTTCCATGCGCAGACTATCCAAACGAAATGCCGACGATCCTGCAAGATAGCCGCGGAATGCAAGATAGCCGCGGAAACGGTTGACACGTGTCTTATGCAAGTTGACTAGTCCTCACACGATTCGCAGGATAAACAGTGTGGCGTGTTCAACCATCACCTGCCACTCGCAAACAAACACGCCAGCAAACGCATGAACACTTCAAGCTCGGCGATGCTGGCCGTTCTCAAGCTACCCTAAGACCTTTCACAGGGGACAAGCAAGTCCGGGCAAGGAGTCCCAAGCTTCTTATTGGCCGAAGCCCTACAAGTTTATTGGAATGGGATTGGAGTCACAGGCGGAACCAGCCCTATGTACAGGAGACTGGCGCGAGCCCACCATCCTGGATCAGAATCAGATTCCAGGCTTACAAGCCCAAAAGGTCAGAAGGTTGACTGGTTGCTTGCAAGCGATTCGGGATCCGAGACACCAATCTTGAGGCTTGCTGATTCGGCAAGATGTTGACAAATGCCCATAGAATTTGCAGCTATGCGGATATTAGCTGAGCTGAGAAGCGATCGGGACCCGCAAATGACATTGTTCACCGCTACTCCTACATCAGCCACCCCGCTTCAGGTCTGCCAAAATGATTAGCTGGCCTCACTATTCATTGAATATGATCCTGACTAAAACTGACCATGGCTTAGCGTGGTCTAGGTCCTTGTCCCAAGTTCATGGCCCGTCTGGGAACCACCACGAACATCCTGGAGAAGAAAGCCTTATTGTCTACTATGCGGTATCTCATCCCTAATATCTGCCTGATATCCACTGATGTATATATATATATATACACAATGCATACATATTCATTGTGAGAAGCAAACCTGCTTGTCTACCATGGAAGTCAACGGCATGTCGGGCTTGGAACGTGACTATTCCTTAGACGCTGACCCACTTTTTGGGGAGAGGGTATCATTCTTGGGTTGGAGCCTCTGAAACTTGGCCAAGCCGAATCATTGGCTATGACTGTTTTGAGATACCAGCGTGGCCAACTTGGGGGGGGGGGGGGGCCATGTTTCCCGCAGGCTGGAAAACTGTATTTGGGCGCGGCGATTTCCGCTCGCGATTCTGGGGCAAGGGTGTCCGCGATCCTGGGGGGCTGGCTCTGATGGCACTCAGTTGATTCTTGCCCTTGGGCAGGTGGCAATCCTTTGTTCAACATGTCAATCGCACAATTTCCTTCTGGTTTGGTCCTGCTGGCGCACCAATTGGACCCTATTTCAAACCAGCTTCCAAACACTTCCAAAATAGGCTACGGCTCCGGAAATTCTGGGTGTGCATAGCCCCAAATTTCCCAAAACCCTCAAAACATGAGGTCTTTTACAGTCAAAGGCCCTCATACTGTGGATGCCACCCACGAAACTATGCGAAAGCCATGATTTGTTGGTATTTACAGAGTCGAATCAACCAGGGGGTTCTGACCAGTACGAGAAGCGGATTTCGCAGCCATCCACAGTCTAGATCTTGAGATCCTGAACCCATCAGCTTATGGTCACCTTTCGGCATTTTAATGAACACCTCCTAATAAACCCCAGGAAACTAATATGGAGGTGTCCCGGGGATTCTTCACTTTTGGAGGGGAACACCCCCCTATTAATACACTGGGGTTGATTCATGGGGGGTCAACGTTGGCTGTAGACCAGGTGGTGTGTTGGTACTTTGACCATCGTCTGTCTGGCTGGGATGGGGCACTCAGCCCCTGGGTCTGACTCGCCGAAGCCGGAAACATCTACGGCTGGTGGACGCCGCCGCGCAGGCCTCTCACACGCACCTCCTCCGCGTCCACATTGATCGCCTGGAGCGTTTGGGGAGCGCATGGATTCCCCTTGGATCCAGTGGCCCATAGGAGGGGACTTGCTTTTTGCTTCTCCAGTTCCAACCATCGCTCATTTCAAACAAAACAGCTATTGTTCCCCCCAGAATGGATGTTGGGTTCCCCCGGTGATCCGGATCGCTTTCCTGAACAGCCCTGTAGGATGACCAAGGCCCTGATTTGGGCGGGGATTGGCAAAAGCTGGTCTTGTGGCTTCTTTTAGGGCAACACAGCAGGCACAGACACAGAGAAACACAAACACAATTCCGGGGCGCGCCAGTCTGCCAAATGCAGCCCTACGGGGTGTTGATAGTCTAGATAAACTGTGGGCAACTACTTATCCTGTGAAGGCAGGGCTTTTCTTTGCCCTGTCTCGATGCGTTAAAAGTATACAACAAACACAACAAATCCACCGGCTGCGCTTACTCTGATGAGCTTAATTGTTTCCATCTAGCATCCAATAGATCAACTTCTGAATGTGAAATTGATCAACACGGTTCCCCATGCCCCATATCTCGAATTCGAACATCAGCGCGCCAAAAGCAATCCACATCAACACACCAGTGGGGCCACTGGGCAGGAACGTCTTCACACAAGCCAAAAAAGAAACTGCAATGATTCATATTGATCCGAAGACTGCAACTCGGCCAATCTTCTCCGCTTGCCCATATGGCGAGGCCCAGCACGATTCAGATGCCATGATGCCAACTCATCAGAATCAGTCCCACTGAGCCCTGAAAGCAGTCGACACAATGCTAGCGGAATCTTCTTCCTTTGGCCCCCTTGGCACGTCCTTCTCTCCATTTCCCAAGTGTGCTTGAATCCAACGAGCAGAACCACCTGAAATGATATATATATATATATTTCCTCTTAAGACCCCAAAACACGGAAGCCCATGAGTTGGATTGACATGGGCTGCTTTTTGGGTTTCCCTTTCAAACAACCCCCCGCAACGGGAAGCCTCAAAAACCACACGCCCAACAAGCGCGCCTCGGCGATCTTCTGCGCCACGAGGCGCTTGAAGGTGTCCTCTGGGGCTCTGGGGCTCGCCGGCGAGTGTTCGATTTGGACGTGGCGATTTGGATTTTGTGAAACGGGCGACCTGAAATGTGCGGGTGTCTGCTGCAGACCTGAAATGTGCGGGTTCCTTCTTTGCTTTCTTTTTTCCGCTTCACAACAGGCAGAAAAAAGGCTGCACCCCGAACAACATACACAAAACAAAAACACGCACTGCAAGCCCTGAGGGATGAGTTACATCAAATACCGTTGTACGCTGAACATATTGCTGTTCGCTCAAGAGTAGCATTTGCCTGAAAGGGGTTCATGACCATTCGAATTCAATTTGAGAAACCAATTGTTTCAAGCGGGTCGCACAGAGAAGTGTGCAGCTCTCATTCATGCCCTGGATCACGCAATTTGTTTGCCACAAGGCTGCTTAGCATCCGTCACTCCAGCCGTCCCATCATTGGAGTTGTTGCCTTGCTGTTAAACATGCGTTCTCGAATTGGTTTCATGGCCGGCCGTCAAAATGTCAATAATGTAGCATCCCGGATGAAAAAGGGCACCTTGAGGCCTGAGGTGAACCCCCCTACCCCTAGGTCGCTGCAGCTATAGATTCAAGGGTTATCGGTTTGGGGCCCAAAAGGAAACAACAAACCGTCCAAGTGCGCTGCTCGCACATTTTCACGCTTGAACAGCCACACTGCGGATGCAATGGATGTAAAACCCCAAACTGACCGATCAAATTCTTCACCCCCCTCTGCGTGTTAAAGGGGCCTTTCACAAAGCAGCCAAACAGTAACACAACAGAGGGAGAGGTCAGGGGAACCATTGTCACATGCAAACCATGACAGTTGCGCTTTTAGCGCCACTGCCACGTAGAGTAGTTTCCACTACTGTTGTCCCATCCGCTCCATCCGGACCAGTTCTGCCAGCTGCCTTGGCTCCAATGCTCACCCTCGCGGGCGGCGGGAGCACTTGCATCGGCATAGCGAGCGGCGTTGCGAGCGAGGTGCTTGCTGCTCTCGTTCCTCGAAAACTCGATCGAGTTCTGAGCGTAACGCTCGTTCTGGCTGAATATCCAGTCCATTTCGTGGCGGAGGTCCTCGAGGGCGTTGCTACGCAAATGGATGATGCCATTCCAACACCCAATGCTGCGAGGCTTGTCCTGCTCGGAGACAACATTCACAAAAGCCCGAGGACTGTATGGCATACCTTGGAACATAATGATCCAGCGGGAACTGAGTGCATCCTGCAATTCACTGGGCAAGAACTCCAACTCCGTCTTCACGTACGCGAGCCTTGCGATTCGCGACTCCGAAGTTGATCCAAGGCCAACTCCCAGAGTGCGCTGGGCTTGCGACTGCTTTGGAGCAGCCAAGACGAGGTTTGCACACAACTCCATGCGGAGCATATCCGCATCCCGACGGCCCACCTCAAGCATACGAACCCTGTATTGAAGGTCGAGTTCATAGCGATCAAGCAGAGAGTGGTAGCCGTTCTTCAGGGCGGACTTGTGCTTCTTCCGGGCCTCCTGAAGTACAGCACTGTCCGGGGAGTTCAAGCCACGAAGGATGCTACTCCGATCCTCCTCGCGGAGGTCAAAAGTTCCCACGGATGCCAAAACCTGAGCTGTGACATGGGTGCTGAGGCCCATCTTCTTCAGCAAGTTGGAACGCTGCACAAGGTAATTCTTTTGCTGCTCTTTCAACAGGCGAGGATTGAGGGGTGACAACTGCCCACATGATGAGCAGTGGACCTGCCCCTCGAACACACTGTTGTTGCAAACCGGGCACGTGGCGACATTCAGCTCAACGTTCTCCATTGGGTTGAAAGTCTTCTTAGCCGGCTGGGGATTACATATCTCTTATAAATCACTATAAGACTTAGCAGCGGGTTTATAAGGGTTACAAAATGTGGTTTAGGAGGTGGTTTAGGCAAGGGTTTAGCTAAAGTTTAGCTAAACCAGCTAAACCTGTTAAGGTGTTTTTTCTGTTGACTACAGCGCCTGTGTGCATTTTGTGCAATACTGCGTTTTCCTACCGCAAGCGAGACATCAAGCAAAGCCGCAGCGGGCAGCCCGCGCGGCCCCAAAGACGCATTTTTTCTAGAGCGATTCCACAGCTCGGATCAGAGCGCCTGCACGGCTCCAGCACGTCGCCGCATGCGCGAGCCCGCGCGGCGTCACAGGCAACAGCTGCGTGTCAGGCAGCTGCTGCCAAGCTTGAGCCGCCTCATTGGCGTCATCGAGACAGCGCTCGCAGCGCGCGATGACAACCGCGAGTTCTTCGAGAAAGGACAAGCAAGCTCGGAGCACCCCGACATGAGCATCCACCCGCACAAAGTCGCCGACTTTGAAGAGGATGCCGGTGAAGCCTTATATATTCGTACACACAAGGGCATGTTCCATAAGCACACAGACAAGCATATACTGAAAAAGCCCAGCAGCGCATATGATTGGACACGGCCACGTCAGTGTCCAGGCGCGTCGAGCGAACAAGACCATCCGCATGCGGCGCAGCTGCCTTCTCGTAGGTCTCTGCTCGCACCTAGCTTTTGTAGGTCTCAGGGTCGATGCTGGCTTCCTTCTCGTTTTTTTGCCCTTACCCTTCGCTTTTGCTTTAGGCTTAGCTGCTGGCTTTGCTTTTGGCGTAGTGGGCGCGGCGGAAGCGGCTCGTTTTCCCATGGCTGCGCTAGCTAGGTGGCCGAGGCACGCGAAAGCGGCTATCCCTACCCTATGTTGGATTGGAGTACGGGCCAAAGTAAATGAATCAGGCCACTATTCAATGGTTTTCCGTGTTATTCCAAAATGAAAAGTTCGAGATCCCTAGGGCACCTTGGTTGACACAGTGAGGTGGTGAAAGAGGAGTAGGTCAAACTGATGCAACCTAATAAACTCATCATCGCTATCAATATCAATATTTTTGCCGCGCGGATGTCTCCGCTGCGGCATCTGCATGCTTCGACTGCGTGTATTTGCAAGCACATGAATCACTTGCAAACAAAGTATATATGACAACTGCCTGATCTAACATAGTAAGATAAATTCTTGAAACCAGATATTGGAGTGCTATCTGATGGATGTGGATGTAAGTCGTACTGCATGTGTTTGTGATTGAAATGAATCTTGATCATGTGTCGTGCATCCATGCTTATGTCCCTTGCGTTCTGATATGTGTGTGCTGTAAAAAATACAACATGTTCACACGTGCTGTAGTGTCTCAGTCACAAAATTCATCCTGGAGACTACATAGTCTTTATGTATTTTTTTGCGTGCCTTAAGCTTGAGTTTTTCATTAATGGATGTATCTGTGACTCATTTTTGACGCACAGTCTAATATCAAGCTTGCTTGTGTTTCATTGTTCGAAAACGTGCATCTGTTTGCAGCATGTGGATTCACTCGAATGGATTTCCCACATTCACACAATCAACAGTTTATTTTGTTGACGGTGTATTTGATGCCTGTTTTCATATCTTCACAATTTTGTTTAGATTTTTTGCATTGTTCATTGATATGCCCAGATCCTTCAGGATCAGTTTTGTTTAAAGTATTAGCTGCATAACCATATTTTGAAAAAATGTAAAAATTGATAGGGTTGAAGATTTCAGACTAGAAACATGTGTTCTGGATTTTTTTTGAAAAACTTGATTTGTTAGATTCAGATCTTTGTTTCAGATTTATACAGGCTCTGAATTTGCAGATTTCATATCAGATTCAGATTTTTCAGATTTTTCAGAATCTGAAATTTTCAGATTTTTTTTCAGATTCAGATTTTTTCAGATTTTTTCAGATTTTTCAGATTCAGACAAAATCTGAAAAAATCTGAATCTGAAAATTTAAGTAAAGAAAGTGATGAAGATTCAGATTTTCAGAATCTGAAAAAATCTGAAAAAATCTGAATCTGAAAATTATCTGAAAAATTCAGATTCTGAAAAAAATCTGAAAAATCTGAATCTGAAAATTATCTGAAAAATTCAGATTCTGAAAAAAATCTGAAAAATCTGAATCTGAAAATAATCTGAAAAATTCAGATTCTTAAAAAATCTGAAAGAAACCTGAATCTGATGTCAAATCTGTAAAATTCCGAGCCTGGAAAAATCTGAAAAATGATTTGCATCTGATATCAAATTCAGATTCAACAAAATTGAAAAATATGATAAACTAGACAGCAAAGATGGTTTGGGAAAATTTTCAGGCCATCTGAATCTAAAGAAACGGACAGCAATGTTTAAACTTCAAACCCATAGGATGTGACAAAAAGAAAGGACATACTTGAACACATGTAGAATTCACTGAATACATAACAGCTACATAACAGGCAATCTAAATAACCTAATGCTACTCATCGGTCTGAAAAGCTCCAAAGATGATGATACTGAAACATTCATGAGTTGTGTCACCACACAGACACATATTTGATCCGCAAGTCTCATCTGATCTAGAAGGTCTCATGTTTGAAAAAACAGTGAATATAGCCAGTCACAAATCAAAAAAAAAAACGCTAATTGGCAATAAGTCACAGCAAGCCTAAAAACTAGCATCCACATCCACAGTAATAAGGAACTGATATACAAATGATTGACTGAAACCAACCTTGCAGGATGCATCCATATGTTCATGAACAATGCTCCATACAAGACAACCAAAACATAAATCCTTCATATCAGCCACAACATCCCCTTTCTCAAACCTGCCATGAATCGCCCTATAAAGAACACTTGTTTGATACGACCATGGACCGAAAGCGAAATAAGCAAACATGTACACTCAGTGAGCTAAGGCAATTAGCTTGCCAGCGCCTTTTTTCTCCTCTCCAAAGTCGATGTCCAGGTCCTGCGATGGGAACGGACAACAAAGGCTGACCCAAAAATAAGAAAATGACTGTAAGGAGAAATATGTGTTGGGTGAGACCCGTTTCCAACCAATGCTTGTGCAACCAAAAATTTAAACTTACGGAAAAAAAACAAATCCCACTCCGCGCGGCCGAAGCCGCAGCGGATAAATGCAAACCAAATGAAGGAATTAGAAAAGCCAAGCTGACGCAGACTTACAAGCTATCTCCTTAAGATGTTCACCCGCAAGTTTGGACGCCTCCCTTTTTACGAGGAACGCAGCGTGTAGCTCCCCGTCCTTCACCGCCGCAGCGTGTTCGCGCCGCATGTGGACGCACATGTTGTGGGCAGCCTGCGGATCCAGCTCGGTCATGCCTGCGCGGACACGTATTGGGGACTGGGGACATGTTGTGTGCATGGCTTGCAAGAAAAAAAAGCCTGAAGAACTTTGTAAGCACCCAGATAACTTTGACAAGCAAGAGCCTGGCACGTACATGAGCAGCGCGGTCATGGTTCCCATAGTTTTCTGCGAGGGCAGTCGCAAGCCCAGCCGCAGAGACAGCTGCAGCACGTAGTTCACCTTGTGCGCGAGCGGGACGTGCACAGCCAGCCGGTCCGGGGCCGCGTAGTTGGCCAAGGCCGTGTAGTCCTGGTACACCTGCTGCTGCATGACTGCAGCGAGCTTGAGCTGGAGCGTCCGCGCTGTCATGCATGTGTCACGCATGTCTTGCGCGGGCGCCGCGCGGGCTCACGCCCGCGGCGGCATGCGCAGAGGCGAGACAACAGCGACTCGGCTTCCCTCTTGCATGCTGCGGACTATGCTCGAAAAAAAGCTAAGTCTGCTAAGAGTATTTGCCCCGAAAACAGATCCCAAAAGCTAACCCCGCTAAACCTTATAAGGGTTGCGACCATGTTTGCTAAGTGTTTAGCTTGGGGTTTACAACGGGGGTTATAAAGCGTGTGATATCTCCTATAATCCCTAGATAGATTCTGGTAAACCCTAGAAGCGGCTTATAAACCTTATATAGGTTTAACCAATTTATCTCGTTTGCGCTGGAGTTTGGCAGACTTATAACCCAACTTAGCCGAGATACTAAACGTTTATAACCGGGTTAACATTAGCCAGCCGGCTAAGTTCTGTCTCTTCGCTTCCCCTTGCGGGGCGCGAGGAGACGCCACATTGGTGCGGGTTGTAGCAATGCGCTCCAGTGCTGTAGACCGATCATCAACCACGGCTTGGTCGCGCTTCATCCCCTGGGGTTCATCCTCAGTCGCCTCAGCTGGTGCACCTGCATCCGATTGCTCAGAGCGAGTGTACCATACATCGCCATTTGTGGCGTCCAATACAGAAATAATCGTGTAGTTGGGCACCTTGTCGCGCGTGAGGACGCCATCGCTCTCTGTCTTGAAAAAGCAAAGCCCTGCGCGAATGGCCATCCTGAGGTCGATCTGTATTTCCAAGGGCTTGTTAGCACGTACACCTGAGATGTAATTTTCGTTCGTGCTCGGGATGTCAGCGAAGAAAACGTGAGGTCTGCCTGTCTCGTGCTGGTCACCTCCTCCTGGAAGCAGTCCGTTTCGCATAATGTTGGCGAAGTTCCGCTTATCTGTGCGATGATAGAGCACCGTAGGAGGGTTGCTGCAGACGTTCCAGCCAGACCAGCGCCCGAGGTCAGTCCCCGGGTTCACGTACCACTCCTTCGCGATGCCGGAGTCGTCGATTTGGAGCCAGTCCTCGTGGCCTTGAGAGGCCTTGATCTTGAAAATCCAATGAGAACATGGGACGTCTCCGCACCGGCTTGCGTCCGGGCAACCAAGCGCAATGAACCTCTGCTTTTTGTCGAGCTTGAAGATGTCCATGATATTCTGAACATTCCATGGAATGGGATGTCGCAGCTCCTTGCGAAGCGCGAGTCCCAAATCTTCAAGGTCCATGTAGCCGTCCTCATCCATCACGTACCCACATCCTTCTGTCCCACGACCACGGAGGATCTTTGAGATGCACGTCAGGGAGCTGTGGTACTCGTTGCTGATTCTCCTGACGGAAGGGTCGTAATCAAAGGAGGGCTGCTTGATGATTTCGAGTCGCTTGGGGCCCTCACCATAGTCAACATACTTCACGCCATCATGGATGCTATAAACCCAACAATCGTAGTGGCCTCCAGTCACGTTCCTCCCGTAGGAGTCGAGTGGTACCGGCCTGCTCGTCGCCTCGTCCCTCTGTGCCACCGCAGCCGCCTTTGCACCGGCTTGCGCCGGGCGAACACTTTCGGAAACATCAGCACCGGAAGGCTCACCTGAAGTTGCAAACTCGGCTGGATCGACAGGGGCGAAATCGAGGGGCTGCCGGACCTCCACTTCTTCACGAGTGAAAGGGAGCCCAATCATCTCTGACAATGAAACACCGCACTTCGTTAGCGTTTCCTTGCAGTACGCGAGAACCTCAACGTTGACTGTGCAATCCTCTTGGTGGCGCACCTCAAGCACATCGATCGGACGCATGGTGCAATCATGCGAACGTGTCAGCCCGGCTACGCTGCCCATTGCGGGGCGCAAGATGGAAAGCATATACAACATGTGATGGGTTCCGCGCATGAACTGGACGGTCTTCGTGATATTGTCATCACTGAAGCACATATGATACCTGTCCAGCAAATCGATGGTCTCGACGAGGGGTGTGGCATCCACATACACAAACATATTGTTGGGGTCGCCGATGATGTAATCCCGGACTTCCGTCATGAAACGGTCCCAAATCATAGAGAAGCCGTAGAGATAGCTCTTCGCGCCGGTCATGACTCCAAGGCATGCGCAGCCCTTGCGGGCCGCGAAATCCCTGGTCCAAGCCAGGTGCCGTTTGGAGTCGGCAAGAAGTTGCTCGGCGTCTCCGATGGGGGTGTCGTAAGGATATGTACCAGTGGGCTCGAGGCCGTCCTTCCCGACGAGCTCGTTGCCATTCCAGTAAATCATCGGAATGATGGTGGCTGCTGGGTAGTCGGTACGCACCTCGTCGATGAGGGCGGCCAACCGCTTGCACAGCTGTTGTAAGCCCTTGCCCCAAAGCATTTCAGACCTCCATGGACCGACGCGCGCCGGGCGAGAGGCATCCAAACGCTCCGCAAAGTCGTACTTGCGAAGCTTGCGCTTCTTGCCCGAAACCATGGACAGTCCTGAATCAGCGACAGTCACATAGATAAGGAGGTCGCGGTCTGGTACACGTGGGGCCTGCAAGACTTTCAAGTACGGTTCGCTTATGGTTAACAGGGGTGTAAGCAATTGCAGGTAGTGCGGTTGGTCCTGCACCCATGTATGAATAAGCGACTGTGCAGAGGTCGTCTCGAGGAGGCCCTTGACCGTGGCGGCGAGGTTAGCGTCGTATTTGCCGTTCGTGCATACCGAAGTGGTAGCGACATTCTCCATCCATCTCCTCCATGCCGGATCGCAATCCCTCGCGGGATGCGCCATAGCCGTCGCGCTGCTCATTGCGAAGAAGATGCAGCACAATCACTCGAAAGCAACGGCTGCATGGTGGCATGTTCGGAAAATGCATTGTGAACGACATCGGTGTAAACAAACGTGTATCCCTCGGCTTCCTTCAAATGCGTGCCACGGCTTTCATCATGCTCGTGAGAACCATCACACTTGAAGTACTCAACCACGGAAATAGTGGGCATATTACTGGCAACGACCCACTGCTTTTTCATAGGTTTTCCATTTCTCCCTTTAACGCCGATTTTGCAACCATGGAATTCGTACTTGTTCATCTTGTACTTAGTCAAGAAGCTCCATAGTTCGGGCCATTTCCAATAACGACACGCCTTGGGAAGTTCGAAGGCAACTCTAACGTCATCAGAATAGACATCATTGAGAATGCGTTTGAACCCTCTCAACAGTGATCGGAATTGCTTGATGTGACCCTCAATCTTGGCAGCACCTTTGGGAGTTTGCTGGTTGACATAACCCCACGGGCATCCTCCAGTGCAAGGCAATGAAGCGTAGAACATTATTGCACCCTTAGGATTCTTGCTCCTAAATTCGGCAATTTCATGGACTAACCACTGCCTGCATGTATCAGAGCACCCGTCTTCGGTTTCAGTTACCCGAATGACACGACATCCTTTTGAAGAGTCTCTTGATTCGCCCAACCGTGAGGTCGTCGAACAACAGAATTCAATAAGGAGGCGCTTGGGCTGAGCGTTGCATAGCGCGGCGATCTGCCCCCCCTGATCACTAACTTCTCCGGCCTTGGCGCACGGGGAGAGCAGCAAACTGGTGGCACAGGCTCGCGCCTGGCGATTGGGGGAGATACCGATCAGCTCGAGTGCATGGTGCCACACTGGGGTGCTGTCAAACGCCTTGGTCAAGATGTCTGCAGCTTGGAGGGTAGTGTCAACATTGATTAATTCGAACTGCCTATTCACGAATTGCTCCTGGAGCCATCTGAAGCTAATGCGTTGGGTCCTATCCGTGTGCCTTAGCTTCTGTGAGTGTCCCTGCTGCAGGATAGTGATCGTGGCCTGATTGTCTTCCATCAGCTTAACTTTCCACTTATCACTGAGATGCACAGTTAGGGCATTGATGTTCGCTACACTTGTGCCCGCATCAACATTTCCGTACCGAATTTCATCCAACTCGGGGTCGATGCGAGCAACAATGCCATCGGGCACATCAAGGGAGGCCTTTCCTGCCTTTTGAGCATACCCATGTGCTTCTTTCCCAAACAGGCTGAGCTGGCAGAAAAGCGACAGCGTCGGCAATCCCTCTGCTCTGAGCGCCTGATTCGCAGCGATGACCTCGGCTTCAGTCGAGCTTGTTGCGGTCGCTGTCTGCTTCCTACTGAAGGCATTCAGTGGGTAGTACGTGTTTGGTCCTACCAGGATCATGGTGCAACCAGTTGTACTATGCGAGTCGTATTCGCCTGCCCAATCCGCATCAGCGAACAACCACAGCCTACAATCAGAGAACTTATCCCCGATGAAACCTCGCATCTTTAGGTCCTTCGAACAGTGTATATAAGACACAAGCCGATGTAGAGCGCTGTCGCACTCAGTGGACCATTTACTCACACGCGAGGCAAGGCTTTGCGTGGCTCTTAGCAGGTCATACCTAGCCATGCGGGCTGCGAATCCGCCGACCCTCTGCCTCCCGTCCCAGCCTCCTGCAGAGGGGACCGGCGTGGGATGCAACTGGAAGTGATTGGAATCAATGATAGTCCCTGGCAAACACGCCCGAACCCACAAAAAGTGGATTCCCAGGACCGGTCCCGGGACCGGTCCCGGGACCGGTCCTGGGACCAGTTCTGGGACCAGTCCTGGGACCAGTTCTGGGACTGGTCCTGGGACCCTGGTTCTGCTGTTTTGGATTACTTATAGTCA